ATCAGCTACAATGCTCTATCGAACATTCTAATGGCTAAACCCTGGGGCTTCCAAACGCTTCTACAGGGAGTCAAGCGGTTAACATGTTCAAGGTGGCTGGTCGTCACCCGATGACGCCCAGCCTCCCGTCAAGTCCCCTGTGGTTACAGGCAATCAATCTGATGAATCCTGGATTGTGAGCGACGAATTAATTTAGTCAGCTCACACCAAGCTAGACAGGCTAACTGCTTATATATTTTCCTCCTTGTCAGACTCGAGACAAGTTTTGTGGTATGCAGGCTTGGACTGGGATGTGCCTGTGCCCGTACCCAGTACTGGCCTTGTTAAACACTGTCGGGCTCCACAAGCAAGTTTGAGGGACGGGAAGTCAGACATAAACGAGATCTTGTACAGTTGGGGCTGTGTTGGTGAAGATTGCGTGCACACGGCTTCTTAAATGATGGTAATGTTTTGCCTCTGATTGTTGTTTCATGGTGTCTAGACTGAGAAGAATTCGTCGCCGGTCGAGGTTGGCTAGGCTTTTACAGTTTCAGTTGATCACCGTTGAACTCCCTGACTCCATATAAAAAAGTCCAAGCTTTCCGATCCCCTTTTAGACGACTTGTTAAATCGCAGGTTGGGGACCCTAAAACAGTGAGGGAATTGCCTAATTGCTTTAACATATTATCGACCGTGCTTCTAACGGTGAGAAACTGGAAGGAGGAAAAGAGCTTCTCTTCTGCCCGCCTTAGTGCCTGATTCTACCCAGAATTTGACCTGAGACTTTCGCCTGCAGGGAAGGGACCAACCAAACCAGACCTGGCACGCACTGGCTGCGCTTAGCCTCCATGCAACTCACCTCACTTTCTACAGTACAACCATCCCCTCTCCACGAATTCGCTTTTGCTTTGCTGTATCCCAAGACTGCCCAACATAGTGCTATTTCTCTCGCTCGGCAGCCTGAATTTTACTTTGCATCATCCTGATTCTATTTTTTGTTACGCCAGGAGTTTATACTATCGACTCTCCATTGCGCCCACTGTTCTTGACCGCCTTCTTGAACCTGTTTGGAATTATCGACCACAACCACACCAACCGCTAAGCAACCATCACACGATACTTTCACCGTAGCTCCATGGTCAACCATGTCCTCCAAGGACCAAGACGTCGAGGCCCCTGCCGATGAGAGACCGCAAGATAAGGAAAAGGTCCGCCGCTCAAAATCCGAACGAAAGGAGCGCAGAGATCGCGACCGAGACTACGATCGAGAAAGGGATAAGGACCCTGAACGTCGCCGACATCGCACATCTCGACTCTCTAAGAGCAAGCTCGGCAGCGAAGCCAGCGACAACCTTTCTCATACATCTAGTCGCCGTCACCGTCACCGCAAGGACAGAGACAGTGATGAGCATCATCGCCGTCACCACCGTACTGCTTCGACCAGCGATTTAGCCAGCTCAGACATAAGGACGTCGACAGCTGCCACTTCTATATTATCTGACCGTATCAACATGCCTTACCCTTCATTCAGTAAGGCACACAGCAAAGAGGCCATCGTTAGTCGCGATTCCCTATCACTTAAACCTCCTACCCGTGAACCGCCGGAGCCTCCTACCGCCGAGGAACTCAAAGCCCGCAGGGATTCCGGTAATGCCAATCCGAATGCGCCACCAAGTCCGCCTCCAACCGATCTGGACGCGGACAAGACTGCTGTGAACGATGAAACACCAAATGAGCCAGTCGACGAGGAACCCACAGATGAGGAAACATACGACGAAGAGACGTTAAATGCCGATTTGTCCAGAGAAGACATTCCAACAATTCAGACCCCGACAGAGGAGCCTTCAGCATCTGAGGTTGGCCTGAAAAAGTCAAAGTCGAGACTATCTCACTCTCGATCAGTATCACGAAACGAGGAGCGCTCCCGTGTTAGTCGCCGATCAGGGTCCTCGAGTCAAGCTACTTATGTGAAGTCCTCGCATCGTTCTGCTGAAAAGATCCGACGCTCTGATTCACGAGCATCCACTTCTTCCCATCGCTCAGTCCATCGGACTTCGTCTACTCGAAGTCACAGAAAGTATGATGCAGATGGACCATCCTCTCCTTCAAGCGCTCAAGATTCGTCTCCCAGAACGCCTACTCAAGCTCCTTTCCCTCACGGATATCCCGATACCAAGCGTGAAACCCCTTCTGTTATCGACGTTGAAGATGTCGATTCGAACCTGCATTCCAAAACGGCGACGCCTGCCTCTGCCTTTGGCATTGCCCCTCCGCCTCCGCCCCCACCGCCGGCGCTTGATGTCCACGACATGCCTCGGGTCGACTACCTTCTTCAAAACGGCGGTCTTGCTTATACAGCCCCCAAGAACTTTCTTTCTGTGCTGCCCCGCCAAAACGGCACACGGCCTTCCAACCCTCCCCTTGTCGGTACAGACACTCTCTTTGCTCCATTCCACAACCTGCTGGATCAGTACAACACTGTACTCAGCAAGCAAGGCTCAATTGCTGTCGCTACTGGGCACCGTTCTGTCGCTCGTAGACTGCTGGACCGTCTCGAAAATGTCTTTTCCCGCGACCTCCCTCCTTATGGCTGCACATGTGTTATGTGCGATAACCCTCACGAGATTCACGATGGCCTCAATTGGGGCGATGTTTTGGAGTGGGTGAGTGGCCGCATTGAACTTCCGCAGTGGCCTCCTTTTGATCTAGCTGAGGTTGGTACCAAGGCTGCTGAAATTTCTGGTGATGTGCCCCCTCGACCTGCATCACCGGTCCAACTGGATCCGGATATTGCGGAAGAATTTAGGGAGCACTACCTTCGCCAGTCGAAGAAGGTCCGGACTGCTGTCGACCGATGGCTATCTAACACTGGAGAAACCCCAGTACCACCCCCTCAGGATGTTGACGATGAGACTTTGTCTTTTGCCATTCTGACAAACCTTGATCCAGAGGACCGGCCTTACTTTAATGCCATCATGACTGGATCCAAGGAGCTGAAGTCATCTGTTCGCGCCCCTACTCCAGGACACCGACCTCGAACAGATTTTCTCATCAAGACTGGCCTTGCACTGCAGCGACTATACCGATTGCAACAAGTTCCTCGGGATGCTGAATCGGCGACATACTTAGTTAAGAACCCACATACTCACGATCTTTTGGTCGCACTTTCCAACATAAACAATTCTGAGTGGGAGATTCTCGTCTCTGGACGGTTCGATGGCTTCCTTTGGTCGGGAGCAGATGATGAGCCGCCCACGCCACATTCTGAATCTCGGGGGCCTACACCAGCCAGTTCCTACTACAACACACGAACGATGAGCCCCGGACCTCGAGCTTCCTCTTCATTCAGCTCCAGAAACACGACTCCTTTCTCGGTTTACTCACGAGGCACAACGCCAGCCTCTTTTGTTAGCGTCAACACAACTGGCATGCCTGGAAGCCGACAGGCTGTTTCCAATGACGAGGAGATGGAGATGGCGGCCATCGCAGAGATTGAAAGGGAGATTTACAAGGGGATGGAAACTTTGGAGGACGCATTTGAAAAACTACACAAAAAGGCCGAGGTTGTCAGAAACGCACTACGTCAGCGAGGAGCCGGTTTAATGCAGAACCTGCAGAATCGCCGTCGTATTGATGTGCTTTCTGGCCCCAACTCTGGCAACTCACAGTCTTCAGGCTACGAACGACCAGCTTGGGCCGGAGAGGACGATCGTGAACCAGGCAGTGATGATGACTGGGCTTTAGACGATATCGACATTATGCCTGACGACTCAGCCAGCAATATCAGCAGCTCTCGCCACAGACGACCTAAGAGGCGTACGGAGCGACGAACACCTGCCCCAATCAACGAAGAAGATGAGGATTGAGCATCAGATGCGATACCAGGAGCTCCATGAATCGATGGAGAGGGATTATACGAATGATGACAGAAACGTTTGAAAGAAGCGTATTTTTTCCAGCATATAAATTCGAAACCCAGTTCTATGTCAAATGTCACCAAAACTTGTTTGATTGAGTAACTACTTGTCGGAGCGGATGAGTGATACATGATTGTCAGATACCACTTGTATGCCTATCGTTGGAGATTTGGGTGATGTGCTACCCTTGATGATAACTGAGGATGTCAAGTTTTGCTTTGCTTTTCATCCATTTCTTGCCATGTTATTTTTACTGCCTTTGCTATGGAGGGAAGGGGGGGGGGGGGGGGGGGGGGGGGGGGGGGACAGACGATTTCTGTCTAGAAAATCATGCTACATCTCCCAAGGGAGAATTTGTCCAAGTTTTTACCCGTCCGAGACGCGGCTGTTTGGGTTTTGTTTGATGGTGGTCATGGGAATGTTGGAGGAAATATGAACAGGCATTTATGTCAGTTCGTTCGTAGAGTAGAGGAGCTAATGGATATACCTTGAGCAAATGTTAATGAATGGTAGGAAGCCATCACAATTTGCCGCAACTCAAACTATGACTTGGATGTGATTTGAATGCCCTTTATGTTCCATGCTCTTCGTGAACGATAACGACTTGACACATTCATTTTGGTCGGCTGTGTCTTGAGACACTCATCGTATATTGATATTTCATCATGAGCATGCCACTTGGCAGCCCGTATTTACCACATATCATATTATATAAACATTGAACAGGGACATTCCTTTTCCATTCCCCGCTGGTTATGACTCCTCTTAATGTCATATAAGAATTGGAATAACCCTTCAATTCATTCCCTTGCATCTCCATCCTTGAAATTCGTTCCTTCGATGATCCCCAAGCCAGGTCTTGACAAAGGGGGTCAGTGTCCATGTGCACTGAACTGAGCGAGGCTGAGATTGTCTCAGCCCAAGTAATGTACAAATGATTTACTCCCGGTTGAGAACGCCGGGGATGTCATTCCTTTTTTTTGTTTTGTCTTTGAGAGTGGCCGTTAAAAATTACAACAAGTTAGACGTCAAAAAGGCAAACAGTCTCCGAAACGATAGTCTGTTATAGAGAAAAGAAACTTTGGCATTCTTAAAGTTTCACCTCTAGCTGTAAAGAGACTCGAGGAGGTAAATGACGCCAAAAACGAGGAAGGCGGTAGCACCACCGACAGTGACTAGGGGGAATGTTAGTTACTTTAGTCTGAAAATGTAGAGAAATAGTAAACTTACCAACTTTCAGACTAACTCGGCCAGCGATAGCGCGGCCACCAATAACAGCAACACCAGTGCAGATAGCATGGCCACACGTAGCACCGAGAGTCACCCACCAGTAGTCTTGGCCAGCAGCCATAGCAATAGTAGCAATCTGGCTTCGGTCACCCCATTCACCAAGGAAGGTCATGATGAAGGTCTGCACCCAAGCAGGGCTGAGGAGGAGGGAGCAGAGGTTGGTAGCACCCTGGACAACGCTAGAGACAGCACCAGAGCCAGAACGGGAGTCCCTAACAGGAGACTGGGATGGCGAACGAGGAGGCGACATGAGACGGTTGCTAGGTCGAGATCTTCGGCCGTTGCCATTGCCATTGCCATTGCCATTCATACCCATCTCAAGAGTATAGGCGGAGACGGAATCGCCTCTCTTACGGCCCATTTCCTTCTCCTTCTCGGCTAGCTCTTGTTCGACCTCGTGCATTTCAGCAGAGACACCCTCGTTGGGGTCCATCTGCATACCCTCTCGCAGGAGCTTCGCACCAAATACAAAGAAAAGACCAGCAGCGAGGAAGCTAGTCACACGCTTAGGGATCAAGGCAGGAACGGCATGTCCCAAAACAGCTGAAAGAACGGTCATGACAAGGAGAGCGCCAAAGGCAGCAGTAAAGACAACCATACGATCGTGCTTCATGGCCATGAGGGCAGCAACCAAGAAGGTCTTGTCACCAACTTCGGAGACCAAAATCATGGTGAAGGAGAGAACGAAAGAGTGGAATGGTTGAATGATGCTCTCTTCATCGTGATGTCCATCGTGTGTCGTTCCTCGGCTCAAGTCGACTGGTGGGGCCTTGGTAGCATCTTGCACAGGTTTGTTTTGTCCGGAGGGTCGGTCAGGAAGATCAGCTGGCTTCTACGTAATTGTCAGTTGGTGTTGCATTTGGATGTGTAGTTCTTGCTTACCCCTAATCCTGCAGTATAATCGTGGTCGTCGTCATTGCTGATGATGGGCTTCGCAGGCTTGGGAATCACATCATCTACCTTTTCGCCGCTGGTCTGGTCCTCGACCTTCTCGGTCTTGTCTCCTTCAGAAGCACGGATCCTTTCTTCTTCGCTGTGTGGCAGAGGAGGAGCCTCTTTGGGCGATGAAGGCTTCCTGAATGTTTCCTCGCCTGCGAGGTCCTCCTCCAACTTTCGCGCTTTGTATCGCTCGGTCACACCGCCTTCGGTGCCAGTTGTGCCCTCTTGAGCGTGAATTCGGTCCTTGTCGAACATGACGCCATCGTTGGTTTCGGGTATCTTTGCGCCATCGACTACAGTAGGGTCATCTGGCCGACCCTTGAGCTCGGGAAGGGTTTCGGAGCTGGCGTCGACCTTGGTTGCAGCGCCGGCTCCAGCTTCAGGTACAATATCAGAATTAACACCGGCTGCAGCACCAGATCCAGTATCAGGTATAACTTCAGCGGGCTTCTTGTGGTCATCTGTCTCAATGAACGGTCCATGGTGAGGCTTTCCATCCCTGCCATCAACAGGAGCATCTTTCGTGGGGATATCATGACGCTTTACGCCAGCCTCGGGAAGGCCATCGGTCTGTTCTGTAATCGCGGCAGGGCCAGGTATGTCGGTAACGTCGTGGGCGGATAGCGCATTCGCCAAGGCAGGCAGAAGAAGGAGGATCAAAGGTGAATGCTTGGTTCGGATCTTCATGATGGGCAGTTGTGATTGTTATTGTTGGCTGAAAGAAGGTAGAAAAGTCGACAAGTGTCAAAAGGACTGTCGGTGATGGTGGCCGCAACCTGAGTAGGTAATTCGAGATATTGAATACAACTGTCAATCAGTTGGGGGAAAAGTTGAAACCGTAACTTTGCGACGATCCAAGTCGCGTGTAACGTAACGTAGGTGGGCAGAATAGACTTTGCGAAGGTTGACGAAAAGTATGGGATCTGGACTGATGCTGACACCAGACAGGAAAAGACACAAGGTCTCTAGCACAGTTGACCAACGTGTAAATGGTCGAGCTACACGCTGATTACTCCAGTATCAGAGACAAAAAGGGAGTTGAAAGATTTATCAGGAATGTTGGGGTATTGATTCGAATGCTTTGACTTCAATCGGTATAGGGGCAGAGGATATGGAAGATCCGCTCCCTAATGATACAGGGGTCTCCTGCTGAGAAGGCCCTAGCAGACGTGCCAGCGTGGCCCCAGCTGTGCCACGCTAAGCCTTGAATCGTTTAGTGGACTATTTTTACCCAAGCTCCAGACTTCCTGATGTTAGACAGGGGCATTACGGTAGTTGATAACAGAACTTGACAGACAAATGAATACAACAGTCTGCTAGAATAAAGTCAACAAGGTTGAGAATACTATCAAGACTAAGAAAGACCTAGACATTATCAGATCCATAACTCATGACGCATTTCAAGTCTCATCTTGTCATCATGGCATCTTACGGCATAAATCAGTATAGGAACACCATTCCTAATCCATTCTTTCGTTTGCTTGTCACGGATAACCCCGTTTTCCTGATACTACAACCATAGATCCATAGATTTTGTACACTCACGAAGCCGTGTACGAAATATTTCATCATTCTGTCACATACGGAATCTTGGACTACAGTTCAAGTCTTGAGTCCAAGCCGCCAAGTATCGGATGTCGGCAGAATTCTGGATCCCAAGCTTACCATCATGTCTTGGACATTTACACGCGCCAGGTATCTCCGGTTAAGTGGATGTAGGTTCTGATCTTAAATTATTGGCTTGAGAGCCATATACGTCGCCTGATTACTAGAAGTTTCCAATTCTGCACTTTTCCATAGGTTTCTTGCAGAATTCTGTCATGGTATTCAATAGTGCAAGGCACCAGCTTTGTCGGTCACGTTTTTGTTACCGTGGTGCTGATTTAAGAATATAACTTCACCGTTGCCAGTCTGGGGGCACGAAAAATAGATAGCTAACTAGCTGAGTCACTTGGTAGAGGTTCCTTTTGCCGTGGTGTCTTAATTCTATCTTCCTCGCCCACCGGGACAGCTGAGTGGAGTTATATCTCACGGATTGACTTGCCATCTGAGACTGGCCAACTTTCAAAACGTCTCAATCAACTACCATTAATTATTAGCAGGGACGAATACTGGTTAATTCTCGTCCTCGATGATTGAATCAGACCTTACTGGTGACAAGCGCTGCTGAACTCGTTGTCGCAACCACAATGATCTCAGTCGAGAGGTACAAGATGAGTGCAGGGTAAGCCTCGGGCCTTATCTTATCTCCGGATGTCGTCACAACCTCCAGGAGCTCCTCCATCTCTCAACAGCACCCCATTTGGAGCGTTACGCTCATCGCATCATTGATATTTCGTTAACATCCTGTGAACTTTGTGAAGCTCTATATCATTCTAAACTTGCGTGTATTGAGTGAAATATTTGCCCTTATTCTCCTGATAAGACCGGACATCCATTGTCGCCGTATCGCCCCTCACAACTGCCGTGCTTAGCAAGCATTCTGTCGGCTCTCACTCAGAACCGAGCTCTGCGATATCTCACATACGGCAATCATGGCTCCTCTTCAAGAAGAGAGGAGCTCCCGGCCTTTGGCAACAGATCAAAATGATGAAGGGACCCGCAACGAAAGCACACGTGAATCATCAGAAGGTCCAGCATGGTACTATGAAATCGAGGGAGACGAGGATGAGCCAGAGGAGGGTGAAGATGAAGACTATGAAGACCAGCCTGACGAAGAAGAGGAGGAAGAAGAGGAGGACGATGATGAGGACGATGACGATGATGCAATTGAAGGAGGTGGCGGCACACAACGCCTTCTAAACATTGTTCGAAGTAATTTCCAACATCCCCTCCTCATACTGCATTGCATGACTGACATAGTGGTGACTCAAGCTGGGGCTAGGACAGGACTATTGACACGAAGACAACTCCTCGCGTTAATGCAGGATCCAAATCTCACTAGTGTCTTGTTCCAAGATAATGCAGACGACGACGCAGAATTCTTAGATTGGCCCTTTAGGCGACACCGGACACCGAAGGATCCTAACCGCTTCCCAAAAGTTCCCAGTGAACAAGGCATCAAACTTATGCGTTCAGGAGTGTTTGGCGCAAACGATTACAACCTCAGAGCTAAGAAGCGTCTAGCTACACGAATGTTGGAGCGGGAGTTGGCCTTGGGAAACCGCGAAGATCGATTGCGGAATAATGCTCTCATCAACCAGGTTGGCTACTGTGGCTCAAACATCAAGACAGGTTGGCTAACATTTATCTAGGGCCTGTTACCACAGACAAGAGCAGAAAAGATTGTCCATTTTGATGATCCGGTCTACTCTGGACAGTTTTCTGATGACGGTAACTTTTTCTTCGCTTGCTCTCAAGACTTTAAAGTTCGGATGTACGATACTTCGAGCCCATACAACTGGAAGCATTACAAGACAGTCGCATACCCTTGGGGCCAGTGGACACTCACGGATGCATCACTGAGTCCCGACAATAAATGGCTCGCTTATACTTCGATTCAGACAATGGTCTCAATAGCCCCTACAGACCCGAATGACACTGGCGACCCTTATACCCTGGATCTCGACGATGGCCCACCTCGGCAGGGGTGGCACGGACGACGTGGCTTTGGTATTTGGTCTGTTCGATTCTCTGGCGACGGAAGAGAACTGGTAGCTGGAACAAGTGCGGCTTCCATTGTCGTGTATGATATCGAGTCACGGTCGGTCTTGCACCATGTCCGCGGTCATCAGGATGATGTAAACGCTGTGTGTTTTGCCGACAAGATGTCGCCCCATATCCTTTACTCAGGTTCCGACGATACGACGATCAAAGTATGGGATAGGCGAAGCATGGGCGATAACCGAGAAGCTGGAGCTTTTGTTGGCCACATCGAGGGTTTGACATATATCGACAGCAAAGGCGATGGACGGTATATCCTCAGTAACGGGAAAGATCAGAGTATGAAACTATGGGACCTTCGAATGGCCATGTCTACTGATCGATACACCGAGCTTGACCCCACAAGAACTGTCAATACCAGCGGTTTCGATTACCGAGGGGGAGTTTATGATGATGAAGACTGGGATGCACATCCTCATGATAACTCACTCGTTACTTTCCGAGGTCATAAAGTGCTCCGAACTCTTATTCGGTGTCACTTTTCACCTCCATCGAGTACCAACTCGAGATATGTTTACTCAGGCAGTACAGATGGTAAGGTATACATTTGGAACATGGATGCAACGTTGGCGGGAGTTGTCGATGTCAAGAAAGCAACAATGCGCACACGGCCTATGGATAACCGACATCGGTTTTATCACTTTGATGAGCCAGGTAATTGGAGCACTTGTGTTCGCGATGCCAGCTGGCACCCCAATGCCCCTCTCCTTGTCGGTAAGTTGGCCTGCCTGTTGTTTTGACGCCCCAGCTAACCCGAGAGTAGCATCCGCATGGAATGGTTATAACATGGCACGAGGAACATGTTCACTGCACTCATTTAATGAAAATATCGACGATGAGGGATCTCCTCCGATGGGACACAGCGTTAGCAATGTTTTAAAGGAACAGCCGGAGTTGTATCAGAATTCGACTTATGGGATGGACTAGGCCAAGATTGCAGAAATAACAATGGATATATTTGTACAATTAATCACTGTAGCCGTTTTTCTCATGGGTATTTCTCAACCCATACAAACAGCGCCTTGGACGTGAAAACACATCCTCTCATCTCCTATGGCGCTCGGTCGAATTCAGCGTAGAAGTGTGTCGCGTGCCCGCCATAATGTCATGTAACTCCGCCCCTTTAAGCATACCCGCAAGCAAGAAAGGTTGTGTGATTGTCCTCGTTCCCGTCTTGCGGGTTTTTGGATTATCAAGTCGCCACCATCCAGAATCTCGTCATTACCGATCGCGTGAGTGTTTATGCGCTACCGACGAGGGCGTGGTTGAGAGGAATGTGAACTGCATTCATGTTAGAAATCGAGGCAAAGGGAGAGAGTCCTGAGGAATCATACCCAGCTTGACAACGTAGCCGACGGCGCCCATGATGAGGAAACCAACTCCAACGGCTTGGCAGAGTCGCAGGAACTCCTTCTGGTCGGCTGTAGGACGGTATGTTAGTAAAGATGATAGAGTAAAGGTGCGCAATGGGTCAACATACGCTTAGTGCATCGTCGCACGAATTGAACACCGTCTCTGACGAACTCGGAGGGAACCTCGAGGATCTCTTGAACCTGGTCGGACATGTTGGGTAGTGGAAGAAACGGGTAGAGATATTAAAAGTACGTTGCGTGAAGGAGAGAAGGCAATGTCGTGGAGGAAAGAAGACGAATTCGTCGAATTGAGTCAAAGTCAAAGTCGCGGGGGTTGTAGAAAGGAGGGTTGGAGCTCAAGTTTAAAGGGGACCTCTTTTTGGTTATCCCAGCTAATGACAGCTCTCACTCTCTGGCCTCTCCATACGTGTTCACAAACCTTGGGTACCTACCAACCTTGGAGTACGGGCCGGAAGATTCTCCGGTAACTGACCCTGGACCCAACTTGCAGGAGACTAAAAATTGTGGGCCCGGGCAGCCAGACGCAGGCGCTACTATCCGCGGTTGCTGCTTAGGTAGGTTTGTTGCGAACCTAGCTCTTCCCCAGAGAATTGAAGCTTTCTTCCTCGGGTTTCCCCTTCCTCTAAATATTTTCCAAACCCTTTCATCTTCATTTCACTTACCATCGCGAAGCCGTAACTAACCTTGCAGAACCTATATCACGATATAATCACGACAGTCTTACTGACCGGCTTACTTGGTTCGCGATCGAGCTTGGTGAAGTTGACAGAGCCTGGTTCGAAGGCAGCCACGGTCGACGACGCGAATCGATCGAGCGCTTCCTTTTCGACACCGTATCGCTTCAAGTGTGCTGCAACTATCACGCAACTTGGGCGCTCTCTGGCAAAGATTTTGGTTGCAAGCGATCGGTGAACCGAAGGCTAGGAAAGAAGGGTTGATCGGGCTGACGGCATCCTCTATTCCATTGCTCCCTATCTGTATCTAAGCGCTCGCTCGAGATATATCAGGAGCTAGAAGTGAGGATTGCGAGCACAGAGCTTCGTCCTCAATATCGCATCTTTGAGTCAAGTACCATATCAGGAGGCTATACCTCTATCAGGGCCCCATTCTTGTTACACGGAGTGTACGTATTGCAAGCTTCCAGTCCAAATCATTTCCTGTCTCTGGCGCGAAAGACCTCCGGGTTATGAGGCGATATTTGTTTGCGATGGAAGTTCAATGGCTGATTACTTATGTGTAAAGACCAGAGGCCAACTCTTGTATTTCTCAGCCTAATTATCACATTGATCATTCCCTCTTTGTTTATTTCCAGACCGCCTGCACGACATTAACTTGCCCAGTGCACCGAATCTATCATAATGGCAGAAGAAGATTTCGAAATCGATATCTACGGCGACGCAAGTAACGAACAGCAGCAGGACGGTCAGCAAAACGATGGCAGTAACCAAGACTATCACCAAGAGGATGATCGACGGGACAGTCATGATGACCAAAATATGGACGAGCACCATGCCCAGGACAATCATGCGCGCGAGAACTATGACTCCAACCACCAAGTATCCGGATCCCAGCAAGGGACCAAGCGAAAACAAGAGGAGGATGGTCGACCAGTTGATCAAGCAGCAACAACATCACTCATGATCTCAGAACTGAACTGGTGGAACACGGACGACGATATCAGAGGCTGGGCTCGGGACGCTGGTTGCGAGGATGAGATTAAAGACATTACTTTCAGCGAACACAAGGTTAATGGCAAAAGCAAAGGGTACGTGGATCCAGTACTGAGGAATGATGGAGTCGGCTGACCTTTTTTAGACAAGCTTACATTGAATTCTACTCTCCCCAAGCGTCGACAGCTACCAAGCACCGTATCGAACAGATTCTTGCTGAAAGCCAAGGTGCTCAGAAAAAGGTCACGTTGGCCTACTGGAATCCCAACATCAACCCCTTCAAAACCCTTCCCAAGGACGCTCCCACTAGAGGCAAGGACCAAAGCCGTGCTCCTTCTACTTATAATGATCGTGGCAACAACAACATGGGCGGCAACTTTGGTGGTTCTGGAGGCGGCTTTCGAGGAGGTAGGGGCGGTTACAACCGTGGTGGCATGAACCAGGGTGGCTACAACCGTAACTTCAACAACAACATGGGTGGATTCAACAACAACATGGGAGGCGGATACAACGGATCTATGGGAGGTGGTGGTAACTTTGGCTTCAACAACCGCGGCGGAATGATGGGGGGTGGCATGCGAGGGGGTCCTGGTGGTATGCGAGGTGGTCGAGGAGGCGGCATGATGAACATGAACCCGATGGGTGGGATGCCTATGGGTATGCCCGGCAACATGGGTATGGGCATGATGGCTCCCAATGGTATGCCCGGTAAGTCACCACATTGAATGTTAATTCAGTGCGTAACTGACATGATATAGGCTTTCAAGGTATGCCTCACAGCTTCAACCCGGGCTTTGGCTTCAACCAGAACCAGGGTGGCGGTGGCGATTGGGGGAACCCCCATGGAGCCAAGAGACCTAGGGGTGAATAACCGACTATTTGACAATGGCTATAAACCCAATCGTTGGGAATCAGATGCTGGCAAACCACAAGCTGGAAATTTGCTGCAGCAAAGAACTTGACGTGTGAAACTTTCATTTTCCCCGAGGTTCGGGGTAACTATTGGCCAAGTTGCAGAAGAGATTGAGGAAAGGGATAACTGTTCATTGTATCATAGAATTATGGAGTAAGGTTAGGCATTGGCGTCAACAGAGCGTTTTGTTTAAGTTTCGGCGTGAGTCAAGTTACAAGGTGATGTATGGTTGCACAATATCTAACTCTTGAAGATGGAGTTTTTTTCTATCCGAAACTCTGTATGTTGACGTATTCGGTGGTTCTACGTGCTTTCAAGCCTGATACTGACTTCGTCCCTCTGTACCTAAGAGTCATAGTGCGATAAAGTTCACGCAGCAATTTTATTCTCAAGGTATGTTGATGTTTATAAAGGGGTATCTGCCCATATGTCCCTGATCTATTACGCCTTAGACAAACACAAACACAAACACACGATGGATCCCCTATTACATCTGCATCCCGTCATCGCTACTAAGTGCCATGTGGCCTGGCCGTCCCTTCCGAGTTCCCCATTGGGATTCTCAGAGGGACCGCTCCCTCCAGACATCGCGCAGTCTCAAGAACAGTCTCATCGAAGAGGAGACGACTATCAATTTCGGCCACCGTGACAGATCTCCGACCGTCTTGATTTACACCTTATGGCACAAGGAGAGCGACAAGACATGGAAGCGGGCAATCGAAGACATGGTTACCTCGGTCAACAAAGACTTATCAACCGTCATCGACAAAGGGTTCCACCTTGAAATGATAGCTCCTAAAGCTCTCATGATGTCTTATCCGAACGATAAAGGTATTCTTTGGAAGGAGTCAAAGGATGCGGTACGCCGGCATTTTGCTGCCATGCAACCATACCACTTGGAAGATATCTGTATGAGGTCAGATTATCAGAAAAATTAGTCCTTGGAAGCATAAGTAGTAAGATTAGGAGGTCAATCTATGTTTCCTAGCTCAGGGGAGTCTGAAGCAGAGCTGAATTTTAACAGAATGAATATTCACACTCTTTCAGGAGGAATCAATGCCGATAGACAACAGATTGTACAAGGAACACTTAATCAACACCTTCAATATTAACATAAGAGTCGAAATACAATTTCAAGGCGCTGATCTGTTATTTCCTTAAAGCTCATTAACAATGTATGAATAGGCCAAAGATGTACCTGGAAAATTAACAAGAGGTAAGAAGATACTCTTTATTCCGTAGATATCCAGACCTAGACCCCCTCCTCCCGCTAGGTAGTATCGATATGGGCTGTATTAATAAACTCTCTGTCAACCTGCTCAAATCTAAGAGTGTTTATTTATGATGGGCAGTGATGCACTGCTAAGCAGTGTAACCGTGTCACTACATCTTCTCCTAGTACCCACCTTAGTACTCGTAATTATTTAAAAACTCAACTTCCTCATAGCACAGGAGTATGCTTTCTTGCAGGCTACAATGTCTTCCCGCAAACGGCTCTGTGATTCTGAAGATGAGCCTAACACGGCGAGTCTTATTGTCTACATCGGAAACATCAACTACGACGCCCAAATCGCAGACTTCGAAAACTTTCTCGCTGGAGCTAGTTTATCTGGCATATTCTTTTGGCCCTAGACCAAGGATCCAATTGATCGCTTCCATGATGGCTGTTGCTGGGTCCAGTTCCAGTCCGAAATGGATGTTACTTGCGCACTGGCTGTTCTAGAAGGTGCTGCATTCATGGGAATGAACATTACTACTAGATCAGTTACTGCCAACTTTATACGTGTGGACTCTAAATGTGTATCTTATTTTTGAACCGGCTGACAATAGCTTGTAGAAACGAGGTCGTCATGGAAATGTCAACTCAAACATTCAGGAGCCTGTCATTCAACACAACAAGGATCCCGAACCAACCTTACTGCCACGAGAATCTATCGACTCTTACGATGATGAGGGATCGCCTCTGATGGAAAGTGTGCCAATCTCTTGCCCAGAAGAACATCTTTACTTGCAACGCTACCCTCACAAACCACAACCATACCCCCAAGAGCTCAAGAACGACAAGGCCAAGCTCGAGAATGAGTGTGAAATTTCCATTGTTGATCGTCCAGACGGATACTCTAATGAGCAAAACGAGTTCCTCTCACAAATTATCAACGACGGCAAGACGCGACAACCCTGGATCTATGTCGAAAGATACAATCACGACAGCAACCGAAACGAGTTCAGAAGAATCGCCCCATCACAGCTTGATGTATCCGAACTACTTGGCTAGAAGCAGTGGTTTTACCCTGGGAGCATCGACGGCTTGAAAGATTCGCGATGTACGAACAAGCTGCATGACGTTTGGTTGGCCGATAATCCTACAAGTAGCACTTCTTCAGTGTTTGCAAAAGGCATCATGATGTCAGGTCTGGCAACCAAGGTCCAAGCTGGAGAAGAACCTCCCGATGGGGCGAGATGTCTAAATTTGGTAGGCGCGAAGAAGCAACAAAGCGATGGCACACAGCACAAAAATCCTGACTACTCCATGTTCTGGGAGCCTGGCAGTCTTCTTGGACAAGACCACAAGGCACGGGCTTTGATTTCTCACTCACCAACATATCTGGCTCCTACTGACACTGACTTTAACCTGTCTTCGGCAACTTGCCGCAGTCACATTCCGGTTTACAAGCGACCCGAAGGCGTAGGACTGGCATGGGGCGGTTATGACCTATACAGCGGGTGGCAGTATATCGGAGACATGTCAAGGAATATATTTTCAAAAAGCATTACCGGACAAAGTCTGCTGCCTGGCGAGAGTTGCACGGTAATAACAGGTAATCGAGCACTACTAGGATTGTAGTTGACTTATTTCTTACTATGATTTTGGTGGCTTCTTATAAGCATCGTGTAAGCATACATTAAGAATAATCCATAGAAAATGAGAGAATGTATAAATTATCGGTTCCTAGGTACTGAGGATGTACAGATGTAAGTAGTTGTGTGATCGCTGATTCGTTGTTGTGCTTAGTCATGATTCGTAGGGATCTTTCTATTCGCCTTTAGATAGTACCTTTATGATCGAACCACCATCCCGCACAAATTCAGATGGAGAGAACACTACCAAAACTGCGATCAATTGGATCTGCCTGCCATGGAAGAACCCTCATGAGAGCTTTGAACTGCACATCATGCTCTTCTTCACGGAGCTTTACCAGCAACCGCCCCCCACCACTCTATGAGGGCCATGTACCATTGACGAGGGTTGAGCGGGCTGGCTTGGCCATTGGAGCTAGTGTTATGTCCTTCTTCAATCCTTATCGTCATGGTACGCTCCAGATAAACATGTGATTTGTCCTATGCTTGGCTAATTATCTTCAGACCTCATTGCCGCTACAGGCGAAGCAACAGCTACACCTTACTTCATCTATCGCTTGCGCGACGCTATGCTCGCTGATCCAACAGGCCGCCGCATTCTCCGAGCTCGACCCCGAATATCCTCCAAAACCCTATCCCTTGACGCACTGCGCGCAATGCCTGAGAATAGTGTTGGTCGTGCCTACGTTGGATGGCTCGATCGAGAAGGTGTCTCGCCCGACACCCGAGCTTCAGTACGCTACATCGATAACGAAGAGTGCGCATATGTTATGCAGCGCTATCGCGAATGCCATGACTTCTACCATGCCTTGACAGGTCTTCCTATCGTGCGTGAGGGTGAAGTTGCTCTCAAGGCGTTCGAGTTTGCCAACACACTGCTCCCCATGACAGGATTGAGTATTTTTGCGGCTGCTACTATGAAGAAGAGTGAGAGACAACGATTCGCATCGACATATCTACCATGGGCCCTAAAGAACGGAGCACGAAGCAAAGAGATAATCAATGTGTTTTGGGAGGAGAGACTTGAAGAGGATGTGAATGATGTCAGAAAAGAGCTTGGTATTGAGCAGCCACCTGATATGAGAGACATCCGAAGGAGGGAGAAGGAAGAGAAGAAGAGGCTCAAGGAGCTCAGAGAACAAGGTCTATAACTCCTTGCTTTCCTTTTGTGTAAAATCTGTACATTTTTAGAAGTTGGGAGGTGCCGGATGAAGCGTCGATTGAATCTTTCACATAAAGTATATAGAGTCGTACACTGTCGAAACGTAAATGCGCCTTTCGTTGAGCATTGCTCAGGGAAAAAATATTGGCAGATCTTGATATCTGCACCGATGTCACCACGTTCATTTTACTTCCTCTCATTCGAAGCACAAGCAGGCCCCGCCCACAAACCCTTTCCATGGTATCATAAGCACCTTACAAGTCCAAATCATCATCGTCATCCCAAGCCTTGCGCCTGTTCACAACAATCTTTTCCTCTTCCTTGCTCTCTGACATGGCATTTAGAAGCTCCTTGAGCTGTGTCTCGGTGACCTTTTGTCGCAGCTGGCCCGTCTGGGCGAGTGTGATAAGTCGGTTCTCGATGTCGGCGGCGCGCGACTCCTTGACGAGACGGATGCGGCCGAGACGGTCGGCAGCTTCAGGGTGAAGGATCTGGTTAAGGATGTGTTGCCGAGCATCTTCTTGCTGCTGTTGTCTGTTCTGGGTCAGCGCGATGCTGTCATTGAAGAAAAAGCAAACCTTACTGGCGCTGTTGCTGCTCTTGTTGCCCAGAGCCACCACCTCCACCACTACCTCCACCTTGGGCCTTGAGTTGCTCTAGACGAGCCTTTCGGATCTGTATGCAATATTAGTATCTTCTTCTAATTGAGCGCACTGCATTTTCTACCTGATCAAGCTCTGCGTCATCCATGATTTCGGTTACGTTATGGTGTTGTAAGTCAGGAGATCAGCCTGTCGCGGGGTTGTTTGCACCTCATGAACTAGGTACCTAACCTGTTGTTTCTTGGCTGGGTCAATGAGTGGACCTTTACCTGCCCCACCAGTAATAGAAAGGATCGCCGGTATAAAAATAAGAATCACAGTAATCTGAGGGTAGGTATTCTATATTCATAATATTATAATCAAGTCTCAGAGGCTACCCCAAATACGATATTTATGTGAAATTGGCTCTTGGCAATCCACGGCGCCGCGCCCGCTCTCTAATTTCTGTAGCCGATGTCTCCTCCACTGGTATAAATGATTTCCTCTTCTCTATTGCCTCTTGACGCCTTGCCTTGATCATATGTACTATCAATTTATTTGTAGGTGTGTCAATGCCAAGAGTCTCGGCTCGATTCAGAAAGAACCCGTTCTGGTAGTTTATATCGGTCTGCAAACCCTTGTTGATGCGCATAAGCAGCTCACTTGGGGCATTGGCCTTGCCTGTGATACGACGATAGCAGAACTTTTTAAGACCTTCGCCACGAAGGAATTTTATCAGATCTGGTGAGCCCTGAACTTCTGGCAGACTTTCTGTCACCAGAGCCATCTCTCCCAACAGCTGGTTCATCATCTTTTGCCCTGACCGATTCGTCGTCAGACCGTTGTATGGCAAATCGAGAAGCACGCACACGGGCTCAACAGCAGCGGCAAACATCAGGGAGGGTAGTTTGAACCGAAGCCATTGGTCATAGGTACTGTAGTCTGACTGAAGCAACTGGGCGTGTTTTAGTGATTGCATCAATGCAGGCTCGCCAAGAGATACATGTAACTCCTTTGATGTGTCTGGTGTCTCATTGGCGCTGGTCAGAATTGTTCGCCCGGCCTTTAATTGTTTGACGGAGTCCCGATTCCGGTTGAATACCAATGCGTGGCTCATATGTCCCAAGAAAAACTTTGGTTCAGGTTGTGTTCCGTCGAGTATATGTTTTCGGACTTGCTCGAGAACCCCTATGCCTTCGTTCAAAAGGCATACCGATGTTTTGTCATCGATCCTGTCTTTAACAGAGGCAATTGCCTTGACAGCTTCAAAGCCACGACCAGTGACAATCAACTCATCGATGTGTGAACGGTCGGATGTCTGTGCAGCTTCGTGCCCCTCATCTTTGTCCCCTTCGACTATGGCGGCATTTTTCTCAGCATATGCGGATTTCCTCGTTCGTTCTGGCTGTGCTTCCTCAACGTTTCGATATCGTGATTTAGGCATGTCTCGGAATCGGAGCATCTCCACTGAGTCATAAACACTGCACAGGGCGTGAGCAATGAATCTCGATCTCGCATCTTCACCCAATATATGAATTTTGTGTACGGGCCCTGATTTTGCGGCCTCGGCCGGAAGGATGACCGAGGGGACGTAAAAATGTGACGAAGAATTATTTGATGTTGGTGTAATCGATGCCTTGTTTTCCGAGCTTTGCCATGGTCGCGAGGGAGATGGTCCGCTTAGTTCTGGTAAAATAGCTTTTTCCTTATGGTGTGTTGTGCTCGCTGCCGAAGCGAAGAGCCGCGTGTGGCTCGTAGGACTATATTGAAAACATCGGGTCGACCACTTGGCTATTTGAGCCGTCGCCCGTGACTGGGTGAAGATCGCCACTTTGACGGTTGTGTTTGTGTCGTGAAGAGAAGTTTGTGGCTATGAAGCCGAAACAATTAGACTATGGCGCACACGCGCATACAGATTTGTGAGACTGAAGTCGATGTTGTGTATAGAACCGTGTATATTGTTATCGGTGAGTAAACAGATCGTTGGCTATGTTGCGGTAGGATCGTCAGAAGAGGCGAGTCGGGGTGAAAGTGGTGATGCCGATATTAACGATTGATGCGTCGAGATAATTACGGCTCCGAGCGGCGACGGGAAGTCCGTTTTTTCCCTTGAAATACAAATTAAGACTGTGACCAATTAGAGGAGCCGGGTCAAAGGACTAACTGATCATCTGTACATGTATCATTGGTCAATTCTTGGCTCCGATACCGTTCTTGGTAGTTCAAATCAGCCAAGACTTAAAGCAGAAAATCTATGTCACATGAGTTTTATTGAATGGTTTTTAACTGAATACTTCTTTGTTTTCGTTCAACTTCGTTTGCCATGTTATTCTTCAGTGACAGTCAGTACCTATTGTGGCGGGTTCTCTGAAAGTTAAATGGGAGTGGGCCAGGAATGAGTTGTTCGTATACCGTCTAGTTACATATCACTCGCTTCATGAATGCGAAAAATCACTAGTCCCTATTAGGCTTCATGTCAAGTTCTGCGCTGCGAAGTCTTTCATGCGACAGCGACGTGATTGATCATCTCAACCTCGCGTATCACAACATTCAGATTTCGCAACATCAAAATGACAGACGTCAAGGATATCACGCCGGATCTTGACCGGCTAGATGATCAGCTCGATGATCTCGAGGAAACTCTTCAGCCTTTGCTCGGTAATCTCGAAGGCATGGCCTCTGAATTGCCCCTGTTGGACAAAGCAAAGCTTTTCTCGCTGACAGCTTATGCAATTGAATCTCTTTTGTTCTGTGGGTGTTTACTAAGGCTTTCTCAATTATTTTATCGCGACCATAGATGAGCTAACAAACGCGACAGCATCACTTAAATTGGAGGGCTCTGATACCCAAACACAAGCCGTTCTTGATGAAATCAAGCGAATTCAGCAATACTTTGGCAAGATCAAGAACATTGAGGCTCCTGAAGCGGAAGAGTCGCGAAATCTCACAGTTAACCAAGAGGCTGCAGCACGTATACTAAAGGCGGATTTGGTATGAAAATCCACAATACTCTGAGACCCAACACTAACATATCATTAGGCCGACAACAAGACGATTAGCAACAAGCTTGCTGAAAAAATTGCAGAAGAGCGGGCCAAGGCCCTTCTGAAGTCTGTTGAGAACCGCAAGAGACCGGCTGAAGAGTCCCCTGTCCCATCTAAGCCAGGCTCCGCTGTTGATGAGGGAAAAGATAAAAGCAAGAAGAAGCAGAAGAAAGGCAAGAAGAGCAAGTCAAAGAACTAATGTCAAGTGACAGTATGCCGTCGTGGGCGATGTTGCGCTGCAAAGGACAGACATGCTGAGCTCTGGCATGCAAGGATTAGGGTGATTTGAACAAAGAGTTATAGATACCCAGAAAGATTGAGGGAAACTCCAAAAAGGCTCAGATATTTGGAGGCCAGGTTGAAGGCTTCCTGATGCAGTTGAGTTAACCAGGGCATGGCGTTTGGGAATATTTAATCTACTTGATTGGAGGGAATTTGATGTTCTATAGAAAGCCCGTCATTGAACAAATGGTTTCATGAAACTCGCCTTGCTTCATGATATGTATGCCTGTGAAACTGGGAGTCATTCCGTATCCGTACACCGGACCAGATTATGACTCAATTGACCATCGACCTATAAACTCGAGATAAAAGGCATTCAAGTATCAACAAACTCCTTGGCCATTCTCTTATCTTGACCTACCTATGTTTGTAACTTTTGGTCTTTTCATACACCAATAATTGATTGAAGTGGGAAGATAAGCCCAGTGACTAATAATTTTCTACCCCACCATCGATAGCATCGCGGGGCAAACCCCTCCAACCCAACCAAGACTCGAATTCTGATTTCGCATTGACAAGAACAAAACCACAACAGCAATATGGCGGTCATTTACATCGACGAAGAAGCTGGAAGCGATCTCCCCGAGATCCAGGGCACCGAGTCCGCCCCCTTCAAGTCCCTCCTCGAGGCCTACTTCCGCCACGGCGCCGAGTCCGAGTACCAGGTCAAAAAGAAGGATGATGAGGAGTACAAGCCCGCTGCCAAGTCGGCCCTGAAGAAGGCTGTCGCCTACGCTGCTGGTCAAAAGAAGAAGCTCGAGGCTGCTGCCAAGCGTGCCGAGAAGGATGCTCAGGATGAGGCTGCTCGTCTTGCTGTTCTTGAGGAGGCCAAGAAGATCAAGATCACCAACGACCCTTCCTTACCCGAGCCTGTCTCGATCGGCCTTCAGGAGACCGATTCCTCTTTGATTGGTACTCTCCGAAAGAGCAAGGACGAGCCTACAGAGGGCGTCAAGCGTGTTTCCGTTCAGGGCCGTGTCAACCGTGTGGCCAAGCAGGGTGGTCTTATCTTTGTCACTCTGCGACGTGGTCTTTACTACATGCAGTGTCTCCTTTCTGGCGATCTTTCCAAGACATACGATGCTCTTACACTCTCCCGAGAGACCTCTCTTGAGATTATTGGTGAGCTCTGGGAGGTTCCCGCTGGTGCTCACGCTCCTCTTGATCGTGAACTCCGCGCAGACTACTTCCGAGTTATCGCCAAGGCTCCCGGAGGTGATGATGCTTTCACCAACATCGTCCCTGTCGATGGTGATACCAACACCCTCATGAACCTCCGACACCTCACTCTCCGCCACGAGAAACCCGCCGCCGTCATGTTCGTTCGCGATATTGTCGAGGATGCTTTCCATACCGTGTATAAGGAGCTGGATATCAAGAAGGTCAGCCCTCCTGCTCTTGTGCAGACTCAAGTCGAGGGTGGCTCTACTCTTTTCAAGTTTGACTACTATGGCGAGACTTCATACTTGACTCAGTCCAGTCAGCTTTATCTCGAGACTGTCCTGCCAGTCCTTGGTGACTGCTACTGTATCGAGAAGTCTTTCCGTGCTGAGAAGTCTCTTACCCGTCGCCATGTAAGTACTTACCTATAGTGCTTTGGTCAATAGCTAATTTGTCTAGCTTTCTGAATACTCTCACGTTGAGGCCGAGTTGGACTTTATCACTTTCGACAACCTCCTCGACCATCTTGAGCATGTCATCTGCCGTGTCATTGACCTGACCCTCGAGAACCCTACCGCTGCCGAGGCCATCAAGAAGTACAACCCTGACTTCCAGAAGCCTTCTCGACCATTCCTGCGCATGCGCTACAGCGATGCCATTGACTGGCTACGAGAGCGTGGAATCAAGAACGAGGAGGGCAACGACCACACTTTCGGAGACGACATGTAAGTGTCTCATACTTTTAGAGATGCGCAAACTAACTTGGAATAGTGCCGAGGCTGCTGAGCGAAAGATGACCGACGAGATCAACCGCCCCATCTTCCTTACTCACTTCCCTGTCGAGATCAAGTCATTCTACATGTCCAAGGCTAAGGATGACCCCCGCGTTACTGAGTCCGTCGATGTTCTGATGCCTGGTGTTGGCGAGATTGTCGGTGGCAGCATGAGAATTTGGGATTATGAGGAGCTCATGGCTGGTTACAAGCGAGAGGGTATCGATCCTACAGGCTACTTCTGGTACACTGACCAGCGCAAGTACGGATCCACTCCTCACGGTGGATACGGCTTGGGAGCTGAGCGGTATGTGTTTGTCCTTTAAGCGTTTGATCTTTACTGACGATTATTCAGGTTCCTGGCGTGGCTTCTCAAGCTCTGGACAGTCCGAGAGGCTTGCTTGTATCCTCGTTACATGGGTAGATGCACCCCGTAAACGAACTGTTGATGAGATGTATGAAAATGGAGTATAGGTTTATGATACAGTGAAACAGATTTCTAGTACAATCTAGGGATAAAAAGCGATACTGCTTTACTGATACTGTTTACTGCATTTCTAATCTCTTGAATCGTGAAATGCCCGATATCTCCGTGGTTCATGTAGTCGTAATCAATCGCAGCCTTTAACAAGCCCGTGACTCAGTTAATGGATATCCACTAAAAAGTTCCCAGCGGCTTTCAACGGAAGGTCCTGGAGTGCTCTGGATCTCTGAACCCTGTTCATTGGGGACCTAGTGGGTAGCAGAAAATATGTCCTCTAAGCTTTAGGTTACAGAAATAGATGACTCAAAAAAGTTGGTTCTAAGTAGCACAAGCTGATTTATTAATTTTGTCTACCACGCTCCAAGCGCAATGTTTCTGACACCTTGAAGGGAGATACCTCTACCGAGGCCCTACCGATCGTGCATCCCAATCCCTCGTTGAAATTTGCGGCTTCTAACTGGTCAGCCCTTTCATTCCGAAATCCGTGTCGCTGGGGTATTCTTTCTCCTCATAATATCCCTCCTCCATCTTGAACTTTACCAACAAAAACACCACCTACATCAACAAAACCGAACCTCACAACCATCCTCACAATGCCTCGTCAACGATCCGTCGGTCGCGCTCCTTCGCGCCCTACCGCCGCTGCTTCTGCTCCTAAGCCCCAGCAGACTCGACCTGCCGCCACCCACGCTGCTCCCGCCGGTTCTCACCCTCCTGCCCAGGCTATGCCTCCTCAGGCTGCCGGTTCTCAGGGTCCTGGACTTTTCGGTCAAATGGCCAGCACTGCTGCGTAAGCATTCCCTTCGTATACAAGATTAGCGCTTTGCGAGCTCGGGCTATACTGTCGCAAACTCCGAGCGCATCGGACTACATTATGCTTGGAATAATTATAGCTAACTTTTTACAGCGGTGTCGCTATCGGTTCCTCAGTAGGCCATGCCATCGGTGGTCTGTTCGGTGGCTCCTCCGAGCCCGCCGCTCCCGTCCAGGCTCAAGCTGCTCCTCAAGAGCAGTCCTGGAACCAGAACAACTGCGCCGGTATTGCCCAGAACTTTACAAAGTGCATGGACGACAACAACGGAAACATGCAAATTTGCAACTGGTATCTTGAACAGCTCAAGGCTTGCCAGGCTGCTTCTAGCCAGTAAGCGTTGACTTGGAGATTATACGAATAAAAAGACTTGATATCATTATGGGAAAGGAAACAACATCGGGGATAAATCCCCTGACAGCGTGTGTGCTAGTAGAGATCTGGTAGGAATACTACTGTTACATCTCGACACAACCAATTGTATAATACAAACAAGATCTCACTCAACCCACTCGAATTGGGAAACCTAACTGTCTTTCTCCTCTTCTGGTCGTGGCTCAAAATTCAGCTTTGCTGTTAGCAATAGCAACTTCGTGATTAGTGATGTTAACTCTTACCGAATTTCCATTGTACAACTGTTGATCTCTTTGGTCGCTCGTGTTCTGGAATTCCCGAATTCGGGAACGTTCCCGGGAACTGGTAGGTCCGACGGATCCTCGGGCTGCGCGCTCATCACCGGATCCAAAAAGACTGAAAATCCAGGAGAATATGCTTAGAATAAAGCCAATAATTCTTGACACAATACCTTGTGAGTCATCATCGTAGGCAGACGTGTACTTCTTGACTGGGATGAGAACCAGTGTCGATGAAGGGGAAAGACCAAGCTCGCCAATCGCCTTATCCTCTTCTGTTTCGTCAATATTCTTGTTAGGAAGAGGCGTAAGAACTTGCTTGAACGTATACGGCTGCGATCCATCGTTTCGGTTCTCGTCCACCCATTGCCTAATCTCCTTGAGAGGCGCATTCGTCTTGAAGCGCGATCTCAATGTTGATCCATCAAAGAGACGCACTTGAAGAGCTGTCATTCCGCCAGTCTTTGTCGAAGCTGCCAGCTTGGTTTCTGGTGCGCTGACCAAAGATGCGGCAACGTCGCCACCTTTCATGTTGTCGATCCTTTGCTTTTCGCGCTCCTCGGCGCGCATGCGTCGTTCTGCCTTGTCATCTTCAATTCTCTTGAGAATTCTGGCTCTCTCCTCTTGGTCCTGCTGTCTCTTCTTCTTCACTGCCTCGGCAGCCTTGTGAGCCCGGGCGTTGTCGGTGGTCATTCCAGCTTCAGCTTCAGCTTTAGCCCTCTCCTTGGTCTTGGCGCGCTCATCTTTAACTTTGCGCTCATTCTCTTCCCTTTGCGCTTGCAGTCTGGTAGCCCTCTCGGCCAATATCCGACGGACATTTTCAGATGTCGATGAAGATACAGTTGGCGTCTGTTCTGCTGTGGGTGTCGCTGGTTGAGGGGTAACTTGGGCTGGGGGTTGAGCTGACGTCGGCTGAGGCGTCGTCACTGAGGATGCGGAGTTGAACGCTGTCTGAACTCTCCGCAAGAAATCTTCCTTGCTAGTTCCTGGTGTAATGTACTCTTTTAATTCGCCATTATTGATGATAACAACCGTAGGAGTCCGCGGTAGTGGAAAGATTTGAGCCAAATATCCGGCTTCTTCGGATCCCGCCTGAAGACGAAGCGCAACAGTTTTCTCATTGAGTAAGTCGCTCAGCTACACCGTGGATTAGCCCCCGATTATGCTCTGTAGATCATCAAAATCCTACTGTATCATCGGTCAGGAATTCGTTTTCCCACTGCGTGCTCTCGTCGGTCTCATCTGCAACGAAGCACAGGACTAGCTTTTGCTGGCCGACGGCAGTTGAGATGCCCTCTTGAAGAGTTCCTTGGTAAAACATCGCGGTCTAGTTGGAGAATAATAGTGTATTGTGCCAAAGTGAGAGTTTGTAAGACAACCGCGACGTACGTGTTGAAAGGTGGAAGGAAGAAAGGTGTCTCAAACTCCCTTGAGTTTATATGCATATATGCAAAAGCCAGCCCAAGCGTTGTTTGCGAAGAACAATATTTATCACGTAAAATAACAATGCAATAAATGATTATCGGAAAGTATACTCTAATTGTACTTTCTCAAAGAGAACCTGAATACATCATGTCTTTCACTACCAGGCGACACTTGCGTACAAACGTGGCCTCCGAGCTGACTCAGCAATAAAGTGAGTTTTGTTTAATGCTGGCCAGGTCCCGGGCGCAGCGCCTACCTAGTCCAACAAAGTGCATGGGGAACAGTCTATGTACAGCTACGGAAGACAGGATAGGAAAGGTGTCTAGAGCAATAAAGTGAGTGCCAGGTAACCAAGAATAGAAGAGGAAGGCTTTTATTCAGAGTATATTTCTTGGAACATTATAAAGATATCATAAGAAAGAAGGTATTATGAGTTTGTCAAAATCGTCGCTCAATATGGATACTGATTAATTTTTAGTAAAGATACACTTTCTCTCCTTGACTCATCGCCCGTCTTCGGAAGAGCTACCGTCTTGCTGAAAGTTATAAACTTGTCTGTCTCATTTTTAATTTATCAACGTTTACTACTTCGGTCAAAATGTCTATCGACCCAGCTTTCATGCCCTGGGCCGAAGGGAAAGGCGTCAAATTGAAAAATGTCGAACCTCGGATTTTTCCTGGGCGAGGTATTGGTATTGCTGCAGTTCGTGATATCAGAGTAAGTCATAACTGGAAGAGCCAGGCTATCGACATCTTTCCCTTTCCCTACACTCATCACTGCGGAGTGTCAAGTTGCAATTGCTGACGAGTTAGGCAAACGATACCATATTATTTGTGCCAACAAAATCTCTTCGCACCATTGATACAGTTCCAAAGCACATCAAAGAGGCTCTTCATGGCGTCTCAGTTCACGGGATCTTGGCTGCTGAAATTGCGCTTGACGACAGTGACGACTTTGCCATCTGGAGAACAGTCCTCCCAACTCGAGAAGATCTAGAGGGTGGAATGCCCATGATGTGGCCGAGTGAACTTCAAGCCCTTCTCCCCAAGCGAGCCAAAGACATCTTGGAAAATCAAAACACCACGTTCCGACGGGAGTGCGACATTGTCCTAAAAGCCTTTCCGAAGCTGACAAGAGACGCTTATCTCTACAATTGGCTTTTAGTAAATACCAGAACTTTCTATAATAGCATGCCGAAGATGAAGGGCTACGCTCATTCTGATCGACTAGTCTGTATGCCTACTGCAGATTTGTTCAACCATGTAGACCAAGGGTGTAAACTTGTCTACTCTGCTCTCGGATACAGCGTTCAAGCAGACCGAGCCTATAAGCAAGGCGAGGAAGTCTACGTCTCCTATGGGCCTCACTCGAACGACTTTCTTTTGACAGAATATGGCTTCATTCTGGATACGAATCGCTGGGATGAGGTCTACCTGGACGAAGTGATACTACCACTCCTCAACAAGACGCAGCGCGCTGAGCTGGAAAGCGTAGGCTTTCTCGGCAAATACACACTTGACGATCAGACTCCTGGTTGTCATCGGACCCAAGTGGCCCTTCGAATTCTATGCTGTTCCCCTGGACAGTGGCAACGGTTCTTTGACGCTTGTGAGGATGGACGGTCCTCGCAGATAGAAGTGGACAGTATCCTTTTATCCGCCTTGAAAGACTTTTTACAGGTTATTGAGAAAACTCGAAGCGACATTGATGAGATAGAGGGTGGTACGAGCAGTCAGAGGGAACTGTTGAGACGCCGGTGGCAACAAATCGAGGCAATGGTTGCAACGACAGTAGAAACGCTAACTAAAGAATAACGATCTGGCTTTGAGGTTCCTTTCAAAAGCATGATTCTTTACGACTCTGTAAAAGAGACATTGGCCGCAATGCTTCTCTCAAAGGTCCCGACCGTGTATTTTCTAATTGTGCAAGTCAACCCGCGGTCAGGCCTCTAACATGGTATGTGCATCCATGCAATCTACCCCGTGCTCAGCGATGTCCATGAGATCCATCTCGAGGTTTTCCCCTTATATAATCTCTTTATCGGAAACGAGACGCATCAAACATAGTGGTAGCCATTCCATCCATGCCACCCGCCTCCATGGAAGCCAGCATCTTTCTCATAGCTGTACCATCACCTCCACCTGGTGCTTTGCCGTAGACTGCTTCGCCCAGCATACGGAGCTGCATGGGAAACTGGGAATCTCCATAGTGTTCAATAATACCGGCTTTATCAGTCGCAGACTTCAAATTCTGCTCTGGCGAGTTCATGCCGAACTCTTCGCACTCTGTCTGCTTCTCTGGTGTCCACCAGGAAGGAAGAAGTCCTTTTTTCGCCGACATTTTGGCAATAAATTCTTGGAACCCAGCCAATCCATCTTCGGCGCCACTGTACAGGCTATCCTCCATCATCTCGCCCTCAAGTTTGTACATGTCCTCGACACGTAGGCGGTAACAGTCGATGAGAAGGCGGTAGACATCCTTCTCAGGGCGATTGTGCAGGTATTTTCGATTGTCCAGGCGAGTAAAGGGATCAGGGATAGGCTGGTCGAGTCCCTTTGGCGGTGATCCACTGCTCGCAGTCGCTTGGGGAGATGCAGAAGATCCCTTTCCACAAACCTTTTTGTGGTGCTTCCAGTCATTCTTTTGGCACTCCCTGGAACAGTAAGATCCCGACAAGCATTTAGCGCAGCGTTTGAGGGAAACCCCCGGTTCGCTTTTCTTGCAGACGCTACAGCAGGCCATCGTGGGTGGTAGTGGAATGTCGGTGAGATGGAGATCTAAACTTTTGGGCGAATGCAGGAAGGGAATGTGACAGGATTTATATATTATAGCGCAGACTAATAGGACAACAGAAAAGCAATCAAACAGCCAATAGTTCGGTTACTTTATGCATGGGCTTGGTGGGAATTGCTTCAACGACTAGTAGCAGTGATTGGTCACCTCGCTATTAAACACCAAACCATAATGTGAATTCGGCATCTCTATGATTTATACAATACATCTATCTATGGCAAGCCTGATACGTCATCGACGAATGTGTAAATGCCCCTCCATCCATAAGACTCATATAGATCTATCTTGGTCCAGTCATCGGTCAACTCGTTCTTAGTCAACTTCTCATTTGGCGGCACTCGAAAGGTATATACGCTCGATTCGAGTTCAACAGTAGTCTTTGCAGCCTCCGACTCGCCAGCCTGGCGGCTGATACGGATTCTACCAAAGTAGGGTATAGTCACTTGATATGGGTAGAGTTGACCCCGATACCTGCCTTTGCATGCAGCATGCAATGTCTCAAGCACATCGGCTGCCTGTTCAGCTGTTGTATTCTCCAAAACCTCACCCGTCTTCCTTAGCCTGCTAACAAATTCTGTAATGACAGTCCAAATGCGTTCCTCTTCTTCCATCGTTCTCGGAGTCTCTTTGGCTGCCAAGTCGACGACGAGCATGATAGCAGCGTTGAATGCAAGAAAGTCGTATAGAACTTTTGTCTTTAAACTAATATCCCTGTGAGCCTGTATTGCTCCTTCGGCTGATTCCAAAACTTCGATACGGGTGTACTCAAACTGCTTGTCGTAGCCCGCAAACTGAGAATAAGGCAAATGAATCATTATATTGAGAGTATGTTTGTAGAGCCTCATGATGGCATTTCCGAGTGGTGGAAATGCAGAGTTCAAGTCAGTTTCTGCCCGTTCATCTGGTATCATGATTTTGAGCCCCTTCATCTCGTCGACGATGTTTGTCATTACACTGAAAGGCGTGTCTTGGCGCAATCGATCTCTGTCGCTAATAAATCCTGACAGCAGTCCGATTTTTCTCAAAGTGTCGAGGCCAGGAGTGTGTATATCTGAATTGGGGGTGCCATAAGGCAGCCCTATAATGAGAGATATTTGACGATCTCGAATCCATAAAGCATCCCACAGCAGGCTTTGACGAAGATGAAGGCCTAGTAATAGAGCATTCTCAATGCCGGCTCTAATGCATTTCCATGCTTTGCTCGGACGACCAATTGCAATGAATAACTCGTATTGAAGAACTAGCGCTTCAATGGAGTCGATACTGCAAGCCGGTGTGCAGTCTGCAAGGTATAATATTGATACCTGCGTGAGGATGCGATCGATGAAGTCTTCGGGGCACAGAGGTAAGCCAGTCTCGGCATCTTTGAAGTCTTTCGGTAATTGTGAGAGGAGAAGACAGATCCAGACCAGGCATTTAGATACAAGCCCGACGTCTCTGGATTGCAATGCATCGAATATCTTGTCGCGGTTGCAGAAGACTCCGTATTCATCTTGATTATTGTGAATTATTGCAAAAGGCCACAGCATAAGACTGGATCGTAGTTGATCTCCAGAGTAGGAGTAGTCCAGGATCCTCAAGAGTGTCTGTGGATTCAAGATGAGGTCGCCCGGGACCAACTCCAACTGCGGCATAGGAGTCTGGGACACATATTCATTGTCTGGAGTTTCTTTGAGGTTTTGCAGTTGTGAATCTTCTGGTGTGGTATTGTCTTGAGGGCTCTCGGGAGAGTCAGCAGAGCCAGCAACGTTGCATTTGTCGAGTTGGCTTGTCAAGATTCTGATGGATTCTTGCATTTCTACCATACGCGACTCGACTTGAGTGACAAACTGGTTCAATTCATGTATTATTCGGTCCTTCTCATCGCAAGATTGTTGTGGTACTTGTTGCGACTCGCAAAGAAGAGAGTGAGCCACACATTGACGACACTTTCTTTGACGCTCGTCAAATACACAGCTCACGTTTCGGCGGCGACATTCTGTACAACTCTTTGTTCCGAGTCGTACTCTATTGTGATGTTCCGTGGAAGAATGCGACTGCATTGTATTGTTTGGTGAAGTAGAGACTGGCGGTCATCTTTGTAATTGAGACAACTCGCAGCGTGGCTTGGGTTCATAAACTTGTCAAATGTCTCAGATATGACGATGTTTCCAAGATCAAACCTTGATTATTCGAAAGGGGGAGTAAATTCATTGGGAATTAGTACATTGGATAGTTGTTACTATTGGTGTTGGTTCATGACTACTTGTCAGAACTAAGCATCTTTTAGTTCTCCAAACTTGGCCCAGTGGTACCAAGTCGATCATTATTGGCTTAAATAGACCGATGGTATTGATTAACCTCTGTAAGCGTAGCAAACTGGCAAACTTGACAGTTGTTTGTTGACGGGGTGTGTTGTTCAACAACAGTCTGACTCATTGAATGGATTCGAGTCGTGATGGTGTGCAAATGCCATCAACATATTTAACTGGTATGGATTTGTCTGGATCGTGCACGTCTCTCATGACCGTATCTATACCGTGTGAAATATTTCAATATTTCAACATACAATTTGGACTGATTGATCTAAATGTAAATACCCATTTCTAGTAGACTGAGTACCAAGGTACTGACTGACTGTTCCAACTCCAGCTTCAGGGTAAGTGGGTCGACCCACAATCTTCAAGTCCGGGTTATCACGACCATCTTGAACTTCAATGCGCCATCAGACACAATGAATGCGCCACAGACTCTTTTGCGCAGCTTGCGCATCTCAAGACAAGTTCCTCGCTGCACAAGATTCACCAGCGCACCACCAAGAAGAAACTTCACATCCTCCTTCTTCCGTCGCAAGAAGCAGCCCTCAGCCGATGACCCAGAATTCGTCTCTATTCTAGACGGACCTCCCCAGCTTGTCCGCGCGGGAAAACGTCATGGACCTGGCCTCATTATCCTCGGTATGATATTCTCACTAATGGTCCTGGGGTGATGCTATGACTACTGCTCTCTCCCCAATGCATCATCGAATGACATTTTCCACTATCGAATATAGACTAATTGATGTAGCTATCATTCCCATAACGGCATTCATCTTGGGGACATGGCAAGTCCAACGCCTAGGCTGGAAGTCAGAGCTCCTTGCCAAATTTGAAGACCGTCTTATCCGCGACCCTCTACCTCTACCACCCACCATCGACCCTGATGCCATTCACGACTTCGATTACCGCCGCGTGCTAGCAACAGGTCATTTCAGACATGACCAGGAGATGCTTATCGGGCCTCGCATGCGTGATGGCACAGACGGATACATGGTTGTTACGCCCTTGGAGCGAGAGAATGGCACAACAATTCTAGTCAACAGAGGTTGGATCGACAAGAAGCACAGAGACAAGAGGACGAGACCCGATGGATTGCCAACTGGTGAAGTCACAGTCGAGGGACTCTTGAGAGAGCCATGGAAGAAGAATATGTTTACACCCGAAAACCAACCCGAGAAGGGCATGTTTTATTTCCCGGATGTGAAGCAGATGGCTGCATTGACCGGCGCTCAGCCTGTATGGGTTGAGATTACTACGGGTATACTATCCTCATGATCATTCATATCTCATAACTTGCTAACGATACCAGAACCCGAATTTATGCAAATGGTCGACTGGGAATCTCGAGGTATTCCTTATGGCCGGCCCGCAGAGGTCAACCTGCGAAATAACCACGCTCAGTACATCCTTACCTGGTAAGTTGAATCCTTATGCCAACTCGAGCCGGCGAGCTGACCCTTGATCCTAGGTACGGTCTGTGCTTTGCAACCTCCATCATGCTTTGGATGGTAGTTAAGAAGCCCGCAAACGACGTTGCTCGTCGTGTCGCCCGCTCAAAGGGCCTGTAAACTAAACTGTGCCATGCATGTCATGTAAACTCATGTATATTCTGCCACTTCTCTTTCGTCACCTTGATCCGACACACGCTTTGCCTTGCGTTGTTTGATGGGTTGTGGCACCGGCATTCTCAGCTCCTGGAGGAGTTCTCTTGGGAGGTGCTTCTGCGCTAGAGAGAACATGGAAGAACGAGGTCCAATCTGGCGTTGCCTGTACGATATTAGAATAAAAAAATGGAGCTGGCCAGAGATGACATACCTTTTCATGAGTGTCAAGACGTCGCTCTCTTCAATAGTCTTGCGCTTGGCGTGATCTGCGTACGCTCCTAGATCATCGCCCAATTGTTCAAAGAACCATTCTGAAGATTGAATAAGAGCATCTAGCGTCTCTGCTGAAAGACGCTGGTTGCTTAGACCTGACGATTGAAGAGCTGTCTGTGCCACCCTCTTTACAAAAGCTGGGGGGAGTGATGGATATTCAATGCCATGTTGTGAGATTCGTTTTCGCTTTTTGTTTGCTTTCAATCCACGAGGCAGCCTGTCTTCAGCCGGTAGATGTGTTGTGGTTGTAATGGTCGGTTCCATAGCTGGTTCTAGTTCGTTTATTGAGCTGTGATCGTCCATACCACCCTCATAGTCCCAACCATCCATGCCAAAGTCTGCTCCACCATCAGAGTCGGAACCAAATACGACATTTTGTTGCGGATCACGAGCGTCATCGCCTCTGGCTTCTGCGATTGATTGATCAACAATGGGAGACGTTTGTTGTAAACCATCAGCTGGGTCAGACATTTGAAAGACTGTTTGATCATCCAAACCCTCTGGCATATCCAGATTAAAGTCACTTCCTCTACCCTCTGTCATCCGCCGGGTTTGGTCTGCTTCGAATCTGTGTCTGGATTAGTCAATGCCACAAACTTATACTGCTGGTGACGTACGCGTTCAAAGAGACATCTTCACCAGTTCTTGCATCGAGGTTTTCCAGAAACCCAGGAAAAAAGTCTGACTGTTGACCAATATCTTCTGTAGGCTCGTTGAAATAGTCACTTATGCGCTCACTTCCTGGGCTGCCTCGAGATAGCCGAGAATTGTCCGCGTATCGTCGAGGCATTTCAATTGATTGAACTGTGAAATTATCTTCATCCAACTGTGACAATCGTGGTGGTGGAATTTCTGAGCTCATACTAGAAGCATCTTCATCCAGTGGCAACGAAAGTCTTGGACGTCGAGTAAGAAATTCATCATCGTCATCATCGTCTTCGTTGTCGTAAAGGTTGCTTTGCCCCTGCTGTGCCGGCGATGAACTTTTTCGTATACCAGGAGATGAAGAAGAAGAATATTGAATCGGTTGGCTTTTGGGTGCAAGTGCTCGACCGAGATGTCGCAGAATATCCAAGGGTGTTTCTCTCTGTTGCATCATGCTTTGCCTGCGATTTTTTCCAGGAGTAAACATTGCTGTTCGGCGTTGGTCGAGCAGCCTTCGGGCGGCTTTGGCGTGGGGAGTTGGCGCATTGGATCGGCCAGCAGAGGCAGGAGTGCCTCGACGAAGAGAGGCCCGGAAATCACGGGTGCCAGTACGATCTAGAGGAGTGTGGACGGATGCGCGAGCAGAATAAGGCTCAGCGCTGATTGCCCTGCGAGGAGTTCTTGAAGGAGTTTGCGCTGGCGTCTGTTGCGATGCCGCCTTGGGTGGTGATGATGTCGGACTTGACATGGTGGTGTTTATTTAGATGCGGAATAGGTACTCGAAGGATGATGCTCAAAGAGCAGGCGTCTCAGAATAAGGGTCCATAAGCGATTCAACTTGATTAGCCTAGTTGACTGGAGCGCATTATTGTCTTTTGTGTAGGTACATGATGTACCTAGGTAGATAGATACCCAGGAATACTAACGCGACGCGACGAGGGGACTCTCTAAACACTGTACAAAATGCACGGACCACTATGTTTAGTCTGAAGATGAATCTGAGCTTAATTTGTTTGATGGGGTCGTCCTAAAAGTACTGTATATAATCTTTGGGCGTGTAGCTTGGCCACAAAATGCATTGCGATTAATTTGTATTTTTGATCCTTCTTCTATCCCAGGACTTATGAGTTTTCTCAAAGCTTTCAACAACAACATTATCTGGCTGCACAGATTGAATACTTAAACATCTTCTACCAGAGTTGCTCTCAAAGGCCCAAGTTTCCCAACACGCATGTGCCAGATGAGCTTAATATACATTAGGATCGTTTAATTAAGACCTTTGCCGCGTTCTACTAATGTGTATATGGAGTCTTTTGTATTGAGTGTTCATCTTTCATCAAAGATATACTGTTGAAACTATGTAGCCCGACTGTAGATACAATATGGCTTCTCAAAGGAAACAGTTGAATGATACTGACATGAATGACCTATAAAGGGCTTATAAAGATCCCTTTGCAGTTAAACCCAGGTAGCCCCAGCCACTAAGTAAGACACTGCTCGCAAGCCTCCAAGCCGCTGTCCCTGGAGCCCCTGCTTTCAAGCAGACGTACAGATCAGCTGCCCCCCACCAGAACGTCAAGCTTATCAACGTGTCAACGGTACTGTATTGTCCGCTGAGATAAAAATACCATAGGGCCAGGCCATATGCGGATACTCTACTTCCATAGATGGCAAAGGCTGTATGGGCGGGTTGTGAGTTGGCAATACGCTCTGGTAAGCCATATTCTCGCATAGCCCGAGCAGGTGAAATGAAAGGTAAAAGACCACCAAAGGTAAAAGCAGTGGCTACAAAAACAGCAGGAATATGCCATAGAGAAAAGTCGGAAAACAAGCCTGAAGCCATGGTGTACTAGGATTCTGTTAGTGTTGGTGATGGTTGAGTCAAACCTCAAAAGATTATACGCACCTCGCTAGTTATACAAGTCAAACGAAGAAAAGAGTTGTCAAATACGTCGAAAAATCAAGGCCAGCTTTTATAAAGGACACTGGTAAGCTGACGATTATGTGAGAGACAGATGTAAGATTAGGCAAAATGGTAAAACTTGGCAAAAGAATATCAAGTTAGGACCGAGCGTGGATCGAACACGCGACCTAGGGATCTGCAATCCCTCGCTCGTACCACTGAGCTATCGATCCTTGTCATTGAACTGCAAGAACTTTTGAAACTGGGTATTATGTAGATACTTGGATACCGTCGCTCAGGTAGACCTAGCAAGGGTCTGGCGCTAGGTAGGTGGAGGTTTCAATAAATGAGCTGCATACCTAAATCCATATCTTAATCTCCAACCTCTTTATTATCCTTACTTAAAACATCTTGACGCCTTTGTTAGTATATATTATGATGTCAATAACGGTGTGCCTCTTGTTCTGCCAGTCATAAGGTGATGCGACGTCTTTATTCAATATCAATCTCAACAACCTTCGTAATCGTTCTGGTCAAAATCATATCAACCTCTGAATTACTCTGTATTCCTTGTTCTATATCAATAGCAAAAGTCAATGAAACCGTAAGGTCTAACTGATAACCCGACATAAGATAACAGGGTTGTCGCTCTTTTTGCTGGGATAATTGAAAGGCCCCTTGTTGTTGTACTCTGTAGTTATCCACAATAGCCGCCGCCCGGCCATCCACCAGTAACAGCCTAGCACGAGTAGCCACCTCCGGTGCTGGGGTGGACCAAGAACCTCCTCCTGTGGCCTCACCTCCTGCGGCACAAAACGCGTGAACTACACCTCGGTTTTGTGTCAAGTTTCTTCTCTGACCTATCTTTTTATGCAGCTGTGAAACTCACCTGAGGATCCATTCGAGTTTTGTTGCTACTTGTCGCATCGCCAATCGTCATTGCCTTGTTCCGTTATCCGGTCTCCCCTCGCAGTCTTAGCTTAGTACCTTGGATCTGCTCTGGTTTACTCTACTACATCTACCCAGACACCAACAGTCGCTTTGACCATCCTCATCTACCCCTCGACTAGACATCTTGGTTGCTGCGCTTCGCATCCTTCTTCGACTTTATACCCAGTCCCTCCTATTTCTCGATTATTCGATCGCAACAATGGCCCAGCCCGGCGTGCAATCATTGAAGGTTTGTTGAGCACAAGGTTACCTGACGGAATATCTGGTTGGCTGACCGCTGCTACAGTGTGTGGTGACTGGTGATGGTGCTGTTGGAAAGGTACGTCGGACAACAAACCGTCGCTTACCGCGACAACTATCACAGAAACTCTCGCTGACTGCTTCTAGACTTGTCTACTCATTTCTTATACCACAAATGCGTTCCCCGGCGAATACATCCCAACGGTCTTTGACAACTACTCTGCTAGCGTTATGGTCGATGGCAAGCCTATTAGTCTTGGCCTCTGGGATACCGCTGGTCAGGAGGATTACGACAGACTGCGACCCCTTTCATACCCTCAGACCGATGTCTTCCTCATTTGCTTCTCCATCGTCAGCCCTCCATCATTCGACAACGTAAAGGCAAAGGTAAATTGACAGCTCATCGCCTGCCTCCCGACTCTACTGACATCTCTCCAGTGGTACCCCGAGATCGACCATCATGCGCCCAACATTCCCATTATTCTCGTCGGAACTAAGCTCGATCTTCGAGAGGATGCATCCACCCTCGAATCTCTCCGACAGAAGCGCATGGAGCCTGTATCATACGAGCAGGCGCTGACCTGCGCCAAGGAGATCAAGGCCTACAAGTACCTTGAGTGTTCTGCTTTAACCCAAAGAAACCTTAAGAGTGTTTTTGACGAGGCTATCCGGTATGTTTTCACTATCATCATCTGCGCATGCTAACAATCCAAGGGCCGTCCTCAACCCTCGACCCACGCCTTCGAAGCAAAAGAAGAATAAGTGCTCTATCCTGTAGATATCTAATGAACGTCACGCGCACATGGCACACGCGCGTTTGAGGATCAACGAAAGCGTCTTGACGACGCGAAACGACATGAAGATTTCTGGATGCTCAACAAGCATGGCATCTGATTATAAGACGGCGGTCTTTACGAGATATCCTTGGGAATGATTGAGGGGGTAATTGTATTTTTTTTCAGCAAGTCCGTTTATCTGTCTGCTTCCCTCAGATGGAAAATGCATATGATGACTTTTTTGCGAGGCGGGTTTTTGAATGATTTTCTGCCTAAGTCTTAGGGTATAAAATAAAAGGCCTAAGAAGTATGGCATAAGTAGCATAAACTGGCCTACTAATTTCGTCTCTTACGCTTGCAACGGCTAATTTTTGACACTCTGAGGTGAGGTTTTGTGATGATCTGTTGTGGATTAATGGAATTGCTTGGGGTGGAACTGCGATCGAAGATGTCAAAGACATCGCATTGCAGCTACACTCATTATCTACATCCGTGATGTTATGGGTATCTCCATTCGAAAACAACTTTTGTATCCGACCGTTCATTAAAATGAACCCAGAAAATGCCGTCAAGCTGGTTTCTATCGCCTCAAACTTCCCGCCACTCGTATCTCTTCAGCAAGCCCGAGTTCACCACTTTTTACCAGGAATATGGGCACGTCGACTGGGGTGAATGCCGTCATCGCCTGCTGGACGTCTGTCGGCGTTGGCCTTGCTGCTCTCTTCCTTTGCAATTCTCTCCCGCTCGATACGCTTGGTGCGGTTCTCGTTTAGCTTGACATTCTTCTCCTTGATCTTTTCCTGTCGTTGCTTTGTCTTTCCGCCTCCACCCGCACTATTGTAGAAGTTAGCTTCTGTATTGATGTAGGGCGATTGTGGGAAGCATTGACTGCGGGTCAAAAGACCCCAATGGCAGCAAAAGAAACTCACGTTAGTTCGACGTTGATGCGACGAGGATAGGAAGTACCATCCGTAAACTCGGAATGGTGGAATTTGTCAAGACATGTTCGCATATGCCAGACCTTTGCGAATTCGACAAATGCGAAACCACGGCAGGGCTTTGAGTCCTTGGGATCGCTCATGCAGCGGACTCCCACGGGATCCAAAGAGGCAAAATGAGCTTTGATGGTCTCAGCGGTGGCGGTAAAGGGCAGGTTGCCGACAAAGACAATATGGCGGTCCGCCTTGCCGTTGGTCTTTGCGTCGGTGGTGTCTTCTTTTGCGTCGGCAGATTCGGTGGCCGTCTCTGCGGATTTTTGCTTTTTGTTCTTCTTCTTGCTCTTGGGCTCATCCTTCGTTTCGACGTCGGCGCTGGTGCCCTGCTGCTCTTCCTCGACCTTGGCCTTTTTCTCCTTCTTCTCCTTCTTCTTTTCCTTCTTTGCAGACTTTTCAGCGTCTACAGTGGTATCGGCGGGCTTATCGTCTGCATCGGCCATCGGGATATCTTGGGTATCTTCGATATCGTCGTCTTGTTCGGGGAGATCCTGTAGATCCTTGCGCTTCTCCTTGCGCTCTTTGCGCGACTCCTTCTTGAACTTCTTGTCTCGCTTCTCCTTCTTGGCCTTTTTCACGTCGGCGCCATCATCCTCGCGCTTGCGCTTCCTGTCGGGTTCGACAGAGACAACAGGCTTCTCTTCGGCCTCGGCTCTTTTGCTTTTCATGGTTGTGGTTTGCGATTGAGAATGTGATGTAGAGTCTTCTGTGACAGTCTTCTGTTCAGAAACTTAGGTAGGTGCAATTTTTAAGGTTCGCGGCCCCACTATTCGCGGAAACGTGCCGCTTTCCCGGCCGAGAAACCAAAACGTTTTGAATCCCGGATAGGTAACTAAGAATGTCATATAACTCCTACTTGTACATGGTTTGACAATACTGATTTCGTTCCACTCTGCAGTATTTATCATTTGTTATGATTCATTATATTATCCTATCTAAGCTGCCAGCTCGACTGGACCTCGAGCTTTCTGTTCTGCCGGCATCTCTGCAATAATCCCCCAACCGCCTTGTAACTCTTGCGGTGGCTTCGCTTCAAATATATTTGCAGCGTCCTCTTTTAGGCTGTTCGCTTTGTCGTCCCTCTTTCGATTACGTCTAAGAAGGAATATGGCGCCAAGGATCGTGGAACTAACGACAACCAATCCCCCGATCACACCCCCGATGATAGGCCCTAGGTTGTTGTTTGTTGGGTTTTCTGATTTCTTTTCTGAGGAACTACTAGTCGTTTGAGTAGACGTCTGTTCAGCTACTTCGGTAGTAGTTGAAGACGTATCGCTCGAAACCGCAGTAGGCTCTTGTGATGTAGTTTGTTCCGTTGCTGTTGTTTTTGTTTCTGCTACTGCTGTCGGGCTAGCCAGATAATTCTCAACTGTAGCATACCTCCCGCAGGCAAGGTAGGAATACTCTTGATCGATTCCGAAGGTTAGAATAGCCGTAGAGCACCATGAATTACGGCCACTATCATTGGATTAGCTCTGACGGGAAGATTTCTGTTAACTGACATACCAGGTAAACGTTGTTAGATCTGTATCAGCCATGCCACAGCCAGTCGAGCATGGTCCTTTGTCGATGCAGTACCCAGCCAATCCGCAATCTGAAGCTGTCAGTACGGTTGTCGGGCAAAATCCCCACAGCCCATTCCGAGTATCAACTCTACAATTCCAGCCAGGGTCGGCAGTTCTGGCTTTGTCGGGATCGCCGTTCAGATAACCGCATGTTGATAACTCAGTACTGATGGCTCGTGGTCCGAGTTGAATACTCGACTGCTCAAAAGTAGCTCCAGTCATTGATGGGATCGCCATATTGTGTACATAGCCGAGTGATGTAAATGTCTGTGCAAAGACGAGTAAATAAGAGAGTTGAAGACGCCTCATGATGAAAGAACACTAAAGGGGTTAGGTTCGCACGTTTTTACAAGAGGATCGGTGCGAAAGCTCAGCGTTATATCTCTACCGCTGCGCGTTTACATGGGTGTTATGATGAGTTGGTTGAGTACCGACAACTCGGGTCGGCGCATCTATTGAGAATGTGATTGGGCCATTCCCTGTTTGAGAATTTCCATTTCCTTGAGCTCATTGTATGAATATTCTGTGATGTGTTATGTCTTTAGTTCATCATCAATGATGGTCGTCGGTCCTTTTATCGTCAGTCGTGCTTGCTGTCGCACAAGTGTAACTCTGTGAGAAGTCAAGATCCCATATTAATGCCTTATTTTGATTTATGCTCGCCAAACACTGTCTCCATTTAGATAATGCTCCTTTCCATCCGTCTCCTCCACCTGTTGGTTCCGGAGTGATGTGACAATGAAAGTTGGCTGCATAGGCCGGTATGGAGACTCACCCCTGTAAGTGAACTGTATGCCGATTTCACTGGAAAACAACACATAAATAAGATAAATAACCTAAAGTTTAGACTGGCTTATGATCAGTAAGTAAAACAACATCTTAAATTTACTATACTTAGCCTTTCAGGTATCATATGTATGTATGCTTCGGGAAGTGTATACACACAAGTAGAGACGGGCGCTTAATTTCCAAATATATCAATCCCTGCTCTCATTTGCGGGGACTGGCTGTTGGTTGACTGACATTGTGATTGACTTTCGGCTTTTACTTTCTTTCTTTCTTCCTTCTTCATAAACCTTTTAATTTACAAGTTGCTCATGTTTCGAAAAATTATAGCACCGCTGCTTGCGTTGCTTTGTTTCCTACTCGTCGTCACAAGTTTATATCTTGGGCGCAGTAGCTTGACTTGGCCGTCGTATAATCCCGTAAGTATCGGGCACAACGAGGCGCAAGCAAGCATCAGTCCAACATCTCTCGAGACAAAGGCCAAGACAACGAGTATAGAAGTATATGTACCGTCAGCCATTTCATCAGTTGCACCTAGTCCAACCGTGCCATCTTCTCCAACCATTTCAAACGGTATTCGTCACTCTCTCGCTATAAAGAAGATCATACTCATGCTACGCAGGCACTATACTTTTAGCAGATCGCATCTCACCTTATATCTCAGCCATTCTCAATCCAACGGCTACCGTCCTGCCAAGACTAAAATGTCCTGTTCTAAACACTCAGCGCTACCGTCCGCTGCAACAGAGGGATGAGAATCAAGAGCAGATAGACTACTTCTTTGCCGTCAATCTACGCAACTGTAAGGATATCCTTCCGCGATTGCTCGGAAGTGTCGTTGAGGTAGCCCAATACCTGGGCGTTTCTAGATGTGCCTTGAGCATAGTTGAGGGAAACTCCGCCGATGGCACCGCGGACGTTTTATCAGCACTTGATCCATTCCTTAAGGAGCTTGGATTAGTTTATTTCCTAAGACAAAACACAAAGATTGACCCTTCAAAGAACGCACGCATCAAGAAACTCGCTCAACTACGCAATTTGGCCCTTGAACCATTGGTCAAAAATCAGGTGTCGGCTTCGGACACTACCACTCTTGTTTTCCTCAACGACGTGGCCGCATGCCCTGAGGATATTCTTGAGTTGGCTCTCCAACGAAAAAGCCTCTCTGCCGACATGACTTGTGCCATGGATTGGGTATACCTTGGCCCACACCCGACCTTTTATGATGTCTGGGTGGCCCGAACAACTAAAGGTGACTCGTTCTTTGAAGTTGGGGAAGACGGCAACTGGAACAGCGCCTGGAACCTCTTTTGGAACGACCCCATAACACGGAGACGTTTCGACGAGAACAAGCCATTTCAAGTATTTGCTTGTTGGAATGGGGCAACAGCAATTGGAGCTGGACCGATTTTGCATGGGTTAAGATTCAGAGAGAGCAATTCGACAGAATGTTTCCAGGGAGAACCGACCCTTTTTTGTAAAGACCTCTGGCATAAAGGCTTTCGTAAGATCGCGGTCATCCCCAGCGTTAATCTCGAGTACTCAGATAAAAGGGGAGCAGATATCAAAGAACTCAAAGGATACGTGTCTAATATTGTTGAGCATCAGATGGAGGAAGATAATGCAATCGACTGGGTATTTTCGCCACCCGAACAGGTCCGTTGCATGCCTACATGGGAGACACAAGGATGGAGGCCATGGAACGAGACGTTATAATAGTTATTCTGTATCCTTATTTTTATGGAGGTGGCCCTAAGCAAGGCGTAAGTCTTGCGCAATTAAACGTTGGTCTTGTCATTCGTTGAGCGTATCTCTTCTTTTCTATTCAACTTGTAATATTTGGGAGATGTATGATCATTCTGACATTGACCAAGCGCTCAGACATAGAGGGAACAAATAACAAATGTCAATAAATCATAAATTTAAGACGGTGTCAATCCATAAATAAACTTTAAGCTTCAAATCGCATGCACACCCTCCTTGACATCCCGAGCCCTCCCCCATATATCAGTCTCGGGGCAGCTTCCCATTCCAACTCTAGGTATTCCGTCTGCCTGCCACTCCTCTAAGCAAACTTGCGGCTCTATTCGGACAGGTGGAACCTGGCATTCTGCCCTCTCTGGCCATTTGTAGAGATCCTTAATGTTGCTGTGGTATCAATCCATTTTCGATTAGAATGTCCCACTGTTTATGACTATATCAGCACTCGTCTACCTTCTACATGGTATCTTGATAGGTGTACAGGGACAATATCCGCGTTTATATGCAAGTTCTGTCACTTGGTCATGGGCAATGCCGTCCTATTCGAGGAAGCGGTTGACGAGGCTGTTTGGGTCTCTGGCTGCCGCCCCTCCAATAGAATTTACTGCATAGGTTGTAGGCAAGTATGAAGTGGTGAATTTAAGACCAGAAGATACTGTAAGTTCGACAGCAAACTCGGCATCCGATGTGCACTCAATATAGTATTTGCTTAGCGCTATATCCTCTACTGCGCAAAGATCATCGTTTCAAAATCATCTCAGATATCATATTTAGTCGCTAATGTTATTTTGGAAATCTTCTTAATATATTCTACAAAGTCAGGTTTCTCAGCAAGGTAGGATAAGCTGTAGGCCATTTCGAGGGAACGACCATGCTTTAGAGGTGTATTTAGCCAACTCTCCAGCGATTAGAAACCGGGCAATAACGTGAGGAATCCCATTTGGCACCGCCATGATATTGAGTGACAGGAGGCTTGCCAACGAGTGGCCTGAATATCGGTGATGTTGATGTTGTTGACGTTGAGTGAGTGCAGATTGGCGATGAGACCATCCGGATCTCGTCTTCTGACTTCTTGATACATAGTATCTCGATCCATGGGTGCAAAAAGGCAGCAGCCGCGTTCAAGATGGTGTGCAATACCACTAGTGGCTCGTGTAGATGCTAGATACGGTATATATTCAGAGAGGAAAGACTTACGAAGTGGCAGCGGCCGTCAGGTTATTCTGGAGGCAACAGCAGAGATCGGATACCTTGAAGTGGAGTCGGCTGCTGCCGCAAAGATCCTTTAGCTCTACCATTGAGGTAATTGGGATTGCTGATAGCAACAGCAAGTTCATTGTACCTAAAAAGTAAATCAGCTCTGAAAACAGTACATTCATATCGGATCATCTACGCGGCAGGTCCGCAACTTCGGCCTAAGGCGACAGCTCTGTGAGTTCGGTGTCACCATTGAGAACATGATTGATGATTGTATCTGGTTTCCTTATCCTGATCCTTGGAGTGATTGTCGTTTATCTCTTTGGGGTTGCGTATGATGTTTTAATTTTCAGGTGATTTAAGTACTGGGTTGGTCAGTGATGGGGACTTGTTATATCTAGCCCCTCCACTTCAATCCACTTGTTGCAGTCTGTGTACGCGTGGCCGAAACGATAGCACTAGATCAGATTAGACGGTGACGATAGAATAAGATAGGTAATAGTATCTAACCCAATCGCAAGTAGAGGGTGATAGTCGTCGACCTCCAGCGACCCTGGGAGATAGGGGAGGATTGAGGCTGTTCTAGGGGAGGTGGTTTTGATTGTCATTGCGCGTAAAGAATGAGTGTCATTTGATGATAATTGGATGATATCTTGATGCATGAGTGATTAACCTGTAGAAGTGTTGTTGTTGAAGAAAGAGAAATGTTTCACCAAGGCAGAAAAACGTTGAGCGATCCACCTGAAGGTCTTGACCACCCGGTCGATACATTAATGAATGATGAATTCGGAGAAGAGTACAAGCAAGACCGAGGGGGCGGAGGCGGAGGCAAGGACGACCGTGACAAGGACGACAAAAGCGAGAACAAGGAGGTGAAGAAGCATGAGGATGACGACAACAACAGTGACGATGATCAGTGCGTCTATCCGACATACGTTCCTTTAATTCCTACCTGCGGACTTTGCAGATTCTATCTTGAGCCTGATGAACTCATGGTTCATTGAGTTATCTCGTCTGTCATCTCTAAGTATTGCACAAGATCACCAACTGCAAGGAGCTTAGGCTCACCTCCCAGTGTTGCACCAAGCCTCTGGGTATCAGAAACATTGGCCCTTAGAAGTATAAAGGATGAAATTAGTAGGTCAGTATACTCCTGGACTATAATTCTTAGGCTATTAATTTTGTACCCTAAGGCTGCTGCTACCAGGTAGGACATCATATTCAGGGGTTAACTCTCCGGCGACCTGAAATCGGCATCCGATTTGCACTCAATATAGCAGTATTTGCGACACAAGCCTGGGTGATGACGTGAGGAATCCCATCTAGTACCGCTATAGTAATAACAGAAAGCCTGCCAACAAATGGTCTGAATATCGGTGGTGGTGTCGACGTTGAGTGTCTAGTGCAGATTCGAGATGAGGCCGTCTAGGTCATCAGCTATCGCCCATAATTGCGAATTGATGCTGCTGAGGTCGGCGGCAGGTGTGGTGACTTCAACAAATAATAGAGGGGCCAACTCCTCAAGGGCCAGGACTTGCAGCCATGGAACATATATAGAGATGTCTGAGAGAAAAGTTAGTCCTCGATATACCTGGAAAAACAGTATCAAGAAGCATCTGTGTTGAGAAGACAAAGCTGGCTTCGAAATAAATATACGGAAAAAGGCCGAGAAAAAGGGGCAAAGTCAGAGAAAGACGAGAATAAAGATGGAGGAGATACGTACGGTGAGAGCGACTCGAGAAGATATGAATGTATGCGCTGGCGCTTTGGTGCAAACATTGAGGCAGGCATGTCGAATTGTCCACACCCTTGCGGCACAGGTGACTGAGCTGGCAAACGAGTTCAAAATCAAGTCCAAGTCGATATGGAAAAGTGATTAACGACGGCTACTTCCTCGACTTGACAAGGATAAGCAAGGCAAACGTACCTCACGTTTGCGGCGGTGCTTCTCTCGCAGCTGGTACATACCAAGCTGGCGAGATCGTTGGCGGTTCGGCGCTTGAGCTGCTCAATTATTAGCCTACCCTCATCAGCTCATGTGAATGTGAATCTGGAAGGGCGGGCCTGCTGATTAGTCCGATCGATGTGAAGACGCGGTAATCCCATATATTGGCGGAAGAATTTGATGATGACTCCCGTTAACTATTGTATTGAGATATTTATGAAATAAGAATGCTGAACCGTAGGTAATAATGAAAGGTGATTATTGATCTTAGTCGTTACTCGGGAGCCCCTTCCCGCCGCTCTTTCGTCTTTACTTCGGATTGCTGTCACCCTGGACCGTCGTCTCCGGCACAGCGCTATTGTTTTACCCATGGTGGTAAATCCTGCTGCGCTCGCTGCAATTTTGTGACTTCTTCCTCGTTTATCTTTATTTGGACTGTATCTAATGACGTACATTGGCAGCGCAAGCAGTCCTACCGTACTGACTCCACCATGACAACCTCCTCTGCTCCCCTGGAGGCCCTTATTACTACTCCGTGAGTCCTACTTCTTTATACATGTACCGCATCTAACATAGTGTGGTCTTGATAGGCACAAAAACTGCCTATCATAAATGGGAAACCCTTTTGGGTCTACAGCTAAAGCTCTAAACGAGCCTCTACTGCTGCCTCCAAAAGAACCTGGCATCTGCTGCCGCTTCGTAAGGCTTTCCTCCTTGTATACCTATATACCGTATCTAATAATTACAACCAGTTGAAAGGCAGCAGATCATATCAAGTAGCTGCTGTTCCTTATTACCAAGCAGTCGTTTGTCCATTCTGGTGAACAAACTGTCGATCCGCAAGTGGTATTGCTGACTATCTTGAACGTGGATATTGCCCCTGTGTACCGTTGGATCAATACACGATGCACCTGGAAGTCAGAAGACAAGACCCAGATGGCATCATTAACTACTTCCTTAGCAAGATACTCAACATCAACATCAATATCACCGATATTTAGGCCACTCGTTGCGTCCTGTAAGTGCCATGGTGGTGCTAGATGGATCGCCGGGGAGTTGGCGACTGCATACGATGCCCCAGATGACTTTGAAACAGATGACTTTGAAATAGCTGACAAGCGTCGCACAGCCGAAGATTTCTCTATTCTCCGTACCCACCCCTGCCTTTCATGGTGGTGGCCATGGAGGCTGCCGTGGAGGAGGTCTGCCGGCGATGTTTGCAAATTTGTGAGTTTTAAGCTTATATTGCTATGCTCTATTTAACTTGTTTGAGTGCCGTAGTCATGGGCATCTCAGGCTCGTTGCCCCCTGGTGGCAGAAGTGGAGGCCGTTGCCAACGATAATGAGCTTGCGATGTTCCTCTGCTGGAGAGAACTGCCGTCCTTGGCCCTCATCCTGTTCCTCCTATGCCACTCCTCCGCCTTGTGGAGGCCCCTGTTCCTGCTCAAGCTGCTCCGCCCGCTGCTACTGTTCCGCTACTGTTCCAGTTACAGCTCCTGCGCCGCATTGACGTTGTTAAAAGACCGATGTTCCCTCGATCTCACTTAGTACTATTGATATCTGAATGCCACAAAAGAATTTTAAGCCGGCATCGGAAGATCCTAGAACAACCTGGCGGCTACATTTAGAGACTGACTATCGTTGGTCATACCCATGAGCCTGCAGAAACCTACTTAGACTGAAGTGGAGAAACGTCAATTTATATATAACCTAAGATAAGTAGGAGACAGAAAACGAAAACAAGAGCCCCCAGAGTTCAATATGTTGATGATACTTTGTGGCTTTACCTACTCACTGACATGAAGACCATGAGAGGCGACTCACAGGGGACATCATAACCTTCATCCTCGCTCTTTTAATCTTCAGGTGGATTCGACGGTGCGTAATTGATACCACGAACGTGACAAATCTTGGAATCTTCATCCGACCAGCCCAAACATGCTGAAGGACCCTAGATCCACCAGCTCAGAGGTAACCGTCTGCTGTCATGAATGTGGGTTTGTGTTCGGTGAGACCTTTGCTTGACAGGTGTCACAAACAACCCGTGGTTCATTCGTAGCGTCGCATTAGATGTCGTTGAGCAGGAACATCTGTACTAAGTAAGCTTAGCGCTATCCCGTCTTGGGACCTCCACCTTCCGTACAACCTTGAACCTTGTCAGCCTTACACGTTCCACTCCACCATGAAATAATTGTATCTCCGATGTTCTTGATTGATTGGACATTAGTGAAACTAAGTTGGACAAGATACCCATGTAACTGGACATCGGCAGGTACCCGAACGGTTCTCCACATGGCGTTCCAAATAAGTCTAAGTCGTCTCAACACCATAAACTGAGATTGCGTCCCAGCAATCGAACGTGGAAATGGTTAAGCCAGAACAGCTGATAAGCAAGTCATGCTCATAGATAAAAGTCAGGAATCCTGTTGCTTTAGGGCGACCCGCCGCACGGCTAAATAAATGCATGCCTCGAAAGCGAGGTTATAAAGCTTGGTCACGTGTAAGGCACAGAGCTTTGCTCGCACAAGTCTGACCCTCTTAGTTATTTCCGTCCCGTTTTCACGCCGAATATCCCTCCAATTCAGAACAAATCGTAAGTACTCACTCTATCTTCATTCTTCTCTACCTCTGCTTTTTCTCGTCATTCTGGAACATGATTTCACTCTCCAGAGTTGCCAAGTGCTCTTTGGAGTTGCTTTGCCTCTTTTCACTCGCTCTCTACTTGCTCTTCAGCACTTCATTTCTACCTCCCCAGCGCCAGTGGCCAAGCGTTTACTCTTGGGCTATTTCTCTTCTTGTTCTTCATTTCGCGGGACATCTCAGCACCTCCTTTTTATCACTGCTGGCCTACAATCTTCCTTCAAATGTATCAAGCACTGACGTTTCTTTCAGATGAGCGTTCAGAACCAAGCTGGTGCCCTCCCGGGCGTGTTTTTCGCTGGTGGTGGCGGCCGCGGTGGCGGTGGTGGTAATCGTGGTGGGGGGTGTTGTCGCCTGCTTTGTCACTATGTAAGTGTTACTTCTTCAACTGAGTACCTACTAGGTATCTACCTATCTATATACGTACTGTGTCTAATATGAATTACCCAGTGCGGCCGTTATGGCCATGCAAAGGCTGACTGCCAGAAATGGCAGAGGTTGAAAGCCCTGCAGGCATCCGTGGAGGAATTGCTCCTCCACTACAATACTCTTGCGGCTTCGGTCGGGCAGCCGGGTTTTGGCCCCCCAGCGGCTTAACCCCCCCCCCCCCCCCTGTTTTTTTTCCTTTTTTTTTAAAAAAAATATCATGGTTAGGGTATGATCAAGGCGTTCACAAGGAGCATGTTTTATACAGGCAAGCAAGATAGCTGCCGTTTTTACAATCGACCAAAAGGTCTTTAATCATTTCTTGACTTCTTCTGTGACCATGCAAAATAAACTGAATCTGTAGACGCCACATGGCAATGGATGTATGTATTGCGCACCGTCAAAGTCGCCTGAGAATTGAAAAGACGAGGATGAAGATTCCGATTTCCTTGATAATAGCAGGTGGCCTGTTAAGCATTTAGCGGATGTCACTCCCACCTTCATTGCGGAATATGGATCTTGCAATGTCAACATGTCCTAGACATGACATAGGGTTCCACATTATATCATCATAGGTTATTAGAGGCTCGTTAATAAATACCCTAATTCGCGTGAAGATGGAATTGTAGACAAGTGGAATGCAACACATTTCGCATCCAGAGTTTCTGGACACATCTCCAACATTTGCGCCCAAGTTCGCTTGTCGACGGCAAGGCTTGGCCACATCTCCAAGCATTACACCCAAGAACCGGGAAGAACTCCTCGAGCGCCTGGATAACGCTGATAAGATTATGGACCGAGGTCTTCCTCTTTGCTCCAACTAAAAGGCTTGGTAACATCCCCAAGTATTACACTCAAGAGCGCTTATTACAACTACGGCGCGAATCGTATTTATGGCGGTTCATTAATATCTACCTAAATACAAGTTCTATATACATGAGGTATGACTAAGCAAACAGACTGGCTCGTCAAGCAATGTGTATGACAAAGACGCAAAGAGTTGAATATTGTTCCAGGCGTCGTAAGGCTGGAAACGGACCTGGATTGGCTGGGACTTTGTGACATGTCGCAATCTTTAAAGAGTCTGTGTGTTTGATCTCTGATGTCAGTTGAGCTTTATGCTTTGAGTAGGTAGATGAGCTCTGAAGGATGAAGAGATACCGAAAGCAAATCATGACAAAGAGTGACACAGGACAAGAGAATATCAAGGCCGGTTAAGAAGTGGCAGTGTGATCTCATTGGTTGGTGTTTGGTAACATTGGTGCTTTCATTGGAGTTGGCTTGCTTTTAATGACTGGAGTGCTATTTGAGAATGAAATATAGTTGATTTTGGCTTTCGTCAAAGAGCTGGCGACCGTTACAAACTGCTGGAGATTGGCTGCAGCTCGGCCAGAAAGAGTGGTGCGCGTCTGACTCTTGAACACTGCTAAAGACCACAAGAGAGTGTTTGAGAAAGGCGCAATGATGCATGACTCGCTTGTTGGAGGCTGCTGGCGAATCCGTGAACTAGCCGAGAAATATATTTTGGCCGTCTTGGAGAACGTTAGTGATCGATTAAGGTTGGTTTTGTTGCACGCCTTTGTAGATTGACTGAAAGGTTAATCAATGCTCGTCTTGCTTTTGTTTGACCGCCCGTAGCCGGTAGTTAGCTGCGATCCTTGGAAGTTGCTGCACCGCCCTGTTGCCCTGTCAGAATACTGCCTTTTGTATCTATTAGGTCAAACTCACATTCATTACTCTTGTATCGCGTCACTCCGTGTCGTCAAGTGTTGTGTCATAACTGTGCCAATCAAGTGTAGTGCCTGTGCCGAGGAAGTTGTTAGCCGTGTCGGCTTATGTGGATTTGAAAGGGCATACCTTTGATGTGATCAACTGGAAGATGTGTAGATTTCGTAGACTGACAGAAGGATTTGACGATAGCTGGAGTTGAGGGCCAACATGTTCTTCACAAAAGAATAACGTCGAATCATGGGTATTGGGAGTTGATTATTGTCTCAGTCTTGAGATGCCTTGTTCAAATTAGCACTCAAGCTTCATCATCTGACGATAAAGAGTCAACTTACTGAGTAGTTCCAATCGCGGCGGTAAAGAGAAGCAAAGCGTGGTAGTAACTGTGCTCCTGTTGCGTGGCCCTGTTGCGTGGCCCTGTTGCGTGGCCCTGTTGCTGCCGTTATTGTTGCTGTTGTTTTTGTTGCCCCTGTTGTTTTTGTTGCCCCTGTTGTTTTTGTTGCCCCTGTTGTTTTTGTTGCCCCTGTCGTTGCCGTTGCCGCAATTGCTGTTGTCTTTCGTCTGCTCATCGTGTCACACCATCATAACCTCCATCGTAACCTCCCTCAGGATCACCTCCATCATCAACACCTCCCTCCAAAACACCTCCCCAAGAGGGACCGACTAACTTGAGCAAGGGCAAAAGACGGGGCTTGACATATTCCTCGATATCCCTCGGCAAAATAGACATCGAATGATGCACTCGCTTCGTGAACGGCAGGTAAGACTAGGATGATGAATAGTTGAGAATAGGATAGAGATTGGACGTATCAAAATCCTTCAATCTCGACACAATGTACCCATAATGGGCTTGTCAAGATCGTCATCCAAAGCGCCCAGGGCGTCAGGGTCGCCCGGGACCGGTTATTGTCGAACATATACAGGTTTGATAGTTGTTTCTGCTGTCAGATAGTGGTTGGAAGGTCCAGTTGCCGCATGGTTGTGCTCTCGGTCTTCGAAGTGTTCGCTATCAGAACCGGCGAGGTCAATGCCTACGAGGAAAGTGCTAGATCCGCGAAACCTCCGAAAGGCGTACCAGCCTCTTGCATGCGAAGATCATCCATCGCATCATCCAGCCATAGTTGGGTATGGGAATGGAGATGTTTGAACTCTGAGATACTGAACCAGATGTGGTAGAGACAAGTCTCTTGAGCCGGGAGACCGTCGCGAAAAATGAGAAAGTGTCGCAGGTCTTTGATGATAGCTTTTGGAGCTAAATATCGTTCCCTTGGTCATTGTAATGTGCAGTTGTATGCCTATTGTAGTTGGGTAGGGATCGGGGGAGTGTAGCTCGATTGTAGCTGTCGATGTAGGCGAGTTTTTGTGGCCAAGTCGATCTGTCTAAAGCTGTGAAATGTTAGCCGTGTAATCGATGAAAATAAAATGACTTACCTATTGCAACTCATTTCGAACTTTTTGAAAAGCAGACGTGATTGCCATGCAGCAAATGGTAACCTGAAACTTATTTTTGCTGATCCGACTAGCGTCGACAGCAAGCTGGAAGATTTCATGACCGGGCTGGCTTCCTTAGAACATTCTCTAGTGGAATACATGAAGGGTAGATGCGGTTGGGTTGCTGTTGGCTACCGCTCAAGGTGCTTTGAGTCTTATGGTGCTTTTGGGGCATTGCCGGCCTGCCATATCGGACGAGATCATTGACCACTGCTCGACCATGGTTACGGTGAATTTGAGGTATACTCGTAAGAGCCACCGAGTTTGTCGTGGTCATGTCGTGGTCGCTCGTATTGAGGTCGGAAGTTTGAAAGGAATGGGATGAGAATAATTTTTCTTATTGTTGATGTCTGGTGAGTCACCTGACATTCGGTAACTTGACGTGTTTGTTGATCATTTCTTTAAAATGATTGCTGATTATGATGAGTGATATACCTGTCTTATTTAAGGGATATCGAATTGGTTATTGACGTAGTCGTTTGGAGATTGTTTGAGATGCCGTTTGACGTCTCTAGTGGGGTATGTTCATGACTTTGGATGACCGGGGTAGACATGAACGCTCACTTGATGAGGACAGGAGGTGGACTCGGTTGCACTGATTGTGGAGTGAAACACGATCGGGAAACGCGATCGCGGGGTAAGACAAATGTTCAAGGATCAACCATGGCAGGGCCATAATTGACTTCCTGATACTGGGGTATCTTTGGTCGATATTGCTGTTTGATGATATGATGTTTTGACTATCCTTTGGTGATAGAGACATAATATCGGTTGGATATCGATGATTAATGCGCCCGTTCTTTATAGGTGTGGAAGCGAGCAGCATGTTGCAATATCTGAGTGTATTGTCGAACTCCAGAGTCTACAAATGATTAGTCGATGCATACGTGTAATAATGATCAATATTTACCTTGACACCTCCTGTCCGCGTAGCCTCCCTAAGATGACAAATGTCGTTTCCGATCATTTGCCGTACTTTCATACTCGAGTGAGCTGTTGCCTTGCGTTTGGTGAGCGTTTGTTGTCCTAGCATCTTGTACGCTATTGCAACACATTCTTGTTCTCAAGATAGTCGTAGGTTCAACCCATGTCCTAGAGGGGTTTGCTATTGTGGTATCATGGAGAATGCTGTCGAGGAAGCTTGACTGACAAAGCTGAATATGTGGCAGTAGAAAATGTCTGGCAGGTTGAAGAGTTGGCTTTCGGGTAAAGGCTAGAGGTGAAGGCTCAGAGGTGAAGGCTCTTGGGAGGTAAAGGGTACATGTCACTGTTTAGTTAGCTGGGGGGCTATCCGCAAACATCATCAAATAGGAGATGGTCATCACTCAAAATCATTTCAAAGAAGCTTGACGTTCATGGAGATGGCTGGAAGAAAAGAGTCATCTTTTCGACGAGGCTGGATCTCAACATGATTCTCAAGGTTGAACAGAGTGAAGCTGGATTTGACGTCAACTCGATCTTCTGGTTGCCGAGAAGAGAGTCGGTGAAACCTGTTCAAATGATTCTGTTGACGCGATGGTGGGCCAATCCTGTTGATGCGGTTGTGGTAAGGCGTAGTTCACAAGAGAAAGAAAGAGACGGGTCTTGTCGCAGTGCTCGCATGGTTGTAGAGGCTTTTTGATAGAAGAGTTCCCCATGGCTCGAGGTGTTCCAGTGGAAGCATCTCTGAGTTGGCGATGAGGTTTTGCGATAAAGGTGTAGAAATGACTGAAGGGTCTTGCGATAGAGTCCGGTCTCTTGGTATTTCGATCTCTCGTGGCGGTATTCGAGAAGAAGAAATCTTTAGTTGACAAAGTTGTGAGCGAATGGGCGTAGAATGTCTTGTATCATCTCAATCACCAAAGGTGAGAGTTGAGAGAAGCTGATTCGTTTCCATGTTTTCTTAGCAGGTGACTGGTGAAGGTCTTGCTGTAGAAGCTCGATCACTAAGTGATTTGTCGATGGAGATTTCTGAGCACAATGCTTGTGTTTTGCAATAGCTCAATCTCAGAATAGTAGGTACTGGGTGGGAAGTCTTGTGAAGAAGCTCAATCTCATGAATGTTATCTGGGTTTTATGCAGATGGTTCGAAGATGTTTTGTGAAGGTTGAACTGAGATTTCAGAGTTGATGGCTTGAATCTCTGTTGTGAATTCATTCTTCAGGTTTATCGGAGAGAGTATCTTCTGGTGAGACTAAGGTGATGGTTGATTGAAGTAGTTCAATCTCTGATTTCGTCTGAGAGAACATCTTCCAGGTGATTCCAGGTGATTTGTCGAGGGGTCGTCCTTTCAGAGAAGCTCGTCAAGGAGGTTGAGTAGGTTGAAAGGTCGTAGAGGTTTGTTTGAGAAGTCTGAGAGGTCGTAATGCCAGGGCCGCCTGTTGAGTGTGCTGCCGGCGACTCAGTCATTCCCATACAGTATCACCCCCGTACCCAAAACTTACCCAAACGCCCGCCCCCTAAAAATACAAAATACCAAAATGCACAGCATGGTTGGAACAACTGAAACCCTTATGATGTGCGAATGAGGCAAACTACCCCTTGCATGACTAAGGGCTCGGTCCACCTTATACTAATGCGTTGGAGACTTTTGCTACCAAACATGGAGTTTCCTGACATCCTAAATTTCCTTCAACGAGGCCATTCCCCGGAAAGGCTGAGCTAAGCCTGCATAATGACGAAGACGTCTGCTACCAAAATTGAGTGCTTTGACTTACTGATGATGTGAAAGGTCACTGCGCCGGCATGTCTGAAAGCTCGTCTCCCCTGATGATATGTTTGGAGACGTCTGCGGCGAAAATTGAGTGCCTTCCTGGCGATGTTGAAAAGATAAAGAAAGGAAGGAGGAAGGAGGAATACTGTGCTTAACGCCTGACATTAACAACACTATTGCTTCGACGGGTAACTCAATTCTTTGGCCGCCATTCTTGACCCTTCCTGTTGAGGCATGGATAGCAGCGATAGCACCTGTATTTGATTATGTCGTCTCTGTCTTTGTTATCATGGTCCTCGACTTCAGCATCGTGACGGGGTTCTTCGTCTTCAAGGTGGTAATCTTCCTCGTCTCCGAGAGGTAGCCTCACCTCCAAGAGGGGCATCATGGTCTTCAAGACGGAGATTCTTTGACGTAGTCGGAGTTGCCAAAAATTACTCTTCGTTCTGAAGGCGCTGCATGGTAGGAGGAGCTACAGCGGCAGCGGCAGACGGAACTGTAGTTGAAGCAGCCGCGGTGAGAGCTGGAGCAGGGATGGCCATAAGCCGCAATAGTGGCGAAGATGCAGGAGGAGGAGTTGGGCACCATGGAACCGAAGCTACGAGGCTACTGTATGGTGAACTTTATCTCCAGGGAAACGGGACTGGTCATGGCCCTGTGAATGACACTAAGAGAAGTAGATAGAATGCAGCGTATTAAGCTACAAAACTTACGAACGAACAACAGCACATCAACCACCATAAAAGGCGGGAGGGTGGTCAGATAGTAGTAAGACATCTAAACAAAACGTTAGTTCTTGATACACCTGGTCACCTTTGCGCCGGGGAGTGAGAAGGTATTTGAAACAAGCCAGAAAAGCAGACTCTGAGCCAAAGTTGGAGAGACAGGAGGATGAAGACCAAGGAGATACTTACGATGATTCTGGGCGAGCGTAAGAGTTTTGGGCATATTAGGGAGGAAAGGGAATGTCATACTCCTGAAAAGAGACCCTGAATTTAGGAGCGGCGATTACCTGCGAGATTCCAGATTTAGTACCCCGGGGGACAATTCTTTTTACCTTGTCCCTTTATTCTTCCTCTATCCATAGTTACATATACTAAAGCAACAGAATCATATCTTAATAAATAAAAGCCTCCCTGGTCTAACGGTAAGGCGCACAGGTGTATAGACGATTCTGAATTAGAGAGATATCCTCTAATTTCGGATCGTCAATATGCCCAGAGATCTGGGTTCAAATCCTAGGGGGGGTATTTCTTTTTTTTTAATCCATGCTCTTGGTTGTAGCGGGTGATCCATTCATCAGCGGTTTCTAGTGGGAGTTGGGCACGCTTACTTGGTCGGCCTGAGCTCTAGGGCTCTTTGTCGTCGTTATAACTGTTGTCTTTATTGTGCGACAAGGGGACTAGGTTAGCATATGGAGGCTGTAAGAGCGTTCTTCGGAAGCCGGGTGGTGCCAGCTGAAGCGGCAATGCTGACATTTACGGCCGCCCGACGATGCTGGGCATTCTAGAGGGCGTGTATGTCAATGGTGTTGAGTGAGCTCGGAGTTGGTGCTATTGATGTTGAGGAAGAAAAGGGGAAATGCATACGCATGTGACAGGGGTCACCCGCGCATACAGTGCAGTGTTGTCCTATTACAAACAGATGCTTGGATTGATCCAACGAGCTATTGTGGCTTTCCTTGCGACTTTTTTTTTGGGGGGTGGGGGGAGGGACTTGCAACTATCACAACATTCAGTACATTGCAAATGAAACCGTCAGGCATGGCTGTGTTCAGTGAAAGCAGCAAGTCCACAACGATGGCCGAATATGAGAGTGGCCATATCGGGAAGGAGGCTGCGTTGCTCCCGGGAAGAATATAGAGTCTAGTATGGTAATCAGTGCAGAAGATTAATTTGGTAGTGTCAATATACAGCCCAATAAGAAGTCTACGTCGTGGAGATTTGCAATGCGGGAGTCATGTTGCAATAGTGTAGTGCTTGTATGTCACTTCCAAGTTTAAATAGATAGGTAGCTTTTTACTTAGGTAAGTCGTGTCTAGTAATCACTCATTATTGTGTCGGCGACGTTCAGGGCTGAGCAAGTCCACATGAGGCAGTGCAGTCTTGCGTTAGACAGCACAAGTCAACCAACATCCGAGATCAAGATGATAAAAAAAAAAAATAGCCTAAGGGTCTAGTCTAAACATCCTAAACTCAGTCACCAGTTTTGTTTCTTAGGTTATTTATTGTGACTACCTACCCCCGACATCATCATCCACATATACGTTAGAAACATCTTGGCTCAGGCCAAGGCACCTGGAAACTGATAAATGAAACATAGAAATATGAACCTAGAAAACCTTAATGATAGTTATTTATAAAAAGAACTGAAACATTTAGTTATGTATTCCCATTCTATAAACTAATTGCACCTCCTCAAACTTCGTCAGAACACCACCCAACCATGTTGATCAACATATGTACTGAATCTCTAGTTACTAGATATGGGGAGGTAGTTGGTGGTGATAGAATTGTTGCTGTTGATGTTGGTGTTGTTGGTAATTGGGCATGAAATGTCGCGGGTAACCCTGATTGTCGGCCATGTATTGTCGAGGAGGGTTGTAACCATCCAAACCCCCACGGAAAGATTGCATGTAACCTCTTCCTGAAGGTAGTCCATGGCTATTTCCTCGCCAAGTTTGTTGATTGCCCACTGAAGTCCAATCCCTTGGTTGACTCTGTATATGGTACGATTGACCACCTTTGGCCGATGAGGACTCATTATGCCGATTGCCATTGAAGCTACTGTTTCCTCGTCCTCCCCGACCTCCTCGACCTCGGTCTCCCTGCTTTCGCCAACGGTATGGCCTCCGGTTTCCTCGTGGTTTCGTGACGGAGAACTCGATCCTCTTGAGAGGAGAAGTAACCATGATATTGTCCGTAAGGCCGTGTTTTTCAAGCTCTTCTTTGCTGCAAGTGCAAATCTGGAACACGTGCTCAAGGCGGTCAACATTCTTGACCTCGGGAACATACATTCGCACAAAGTCCCCATTTCCATCGTAGTCAAATGCTTGTTTTACCTGGTTAAAAGACCTCGATTGGCCTCGCGGATCATTACCAGTGCCTGACACGTAACTCCAGTTTCCCCAGTTGCTGTGGGTGTCATAATCTATGAGGTTTTGTTCGTAGTAGGCAGCCCCTATTCTCCAATCTATCCCCAACGACTTTGCGAGGTACGATGCGACATTTTGTCTGGCACGATTCGACGTGTATCCTGTGTGAAAAAGTTCCCTCTGCGAAGCATCGACTAAGCCCATGCCCGTGGTTCCTCGTATCCAACGGTGTATCATGTCTTTGACTTGTTCTGTGGATGGGTGTTGATCGGGCTCGGCCTCCTCTTCCTGGTCTGTCAGCCACTTTTTGTCGTAATTTCCGCTAGCCCCTTTAAACCCATCGATCTTGAAGAGACGGACTCCGAATTTCATGGTGCAAAGTCGCATGTAGTCGCGCCACAGGAGCTCGAAGCGCACACTACGAGTTCCTTCACTCTCACCCTCACCGTAACCCATGGCACCGGAATAGCTCTCTTCCAGCCCATCTTCGAACTTGACAAGTTCATCGTGGATTGAACGGGCTGTAATGTTACCCATGGCCAGGTATGCCGAGAGTTTGGTGCTGTAGTCGATTCCAATCAACCCGTTACGAGTCTCTTGGTAAGTAGTCATTGAACCCGACTTAATGAGATGGTAAAGACGGTCCCAAGCAGGGTTCTCGCCGCCTTTGAACGGGTGAGAGGATTTTGCTCCTTCAGGGAAAGGGGGAGGGTCAGAGATGATGGGAGCTTTGACTGGTTCCAGTAGAAGTCGCTCGAACTCGTCATAATTGTCGGGAATACGAAAAGGGGCTTGTTGAGATGGGATCCATGATGAAGGGAATGAGGGCAACGATCCGGCCTGCGGACGTGGTAGAGGTGGTCGAGGACGCTCTCGAAGAGGCTCTTGTGTCTTCCTGTAAGACGTAAAAACATCAGGAAGATCAGTGCATTCTTTTGACAGGCCAGTATCACGACTTGGAGATGTTAGTGACACACTTCCTTCCACAAGAAACAAGAGAACTTACTCATCAATGTAATACTTTTCATCCTGCCAAAGCTTAAAACTGATGCCCTCCTCAGAGCACACCGAGGCGACAGCGTTCTGGTCGTCCAGTTCTTCTTTCGAGGGCTCCTCAGTCATCCAGACAGTATCGACAGATTGGTTGTTTTCGTTCAACGACATGATCAAATGCTTCAAGACATCATCAAACTTGCCGATGCGAACCAGTATGCCGCTGCCAATGTTCTCAAAGTTTGTCTTGACATCCCAGATACACTCGGCTTGGAACTTGGCTCGAAGGGGACCACATCTCCAGAAACCACCGACCTGGCTCTTGGCTAGTGGATAGGGAGACTTTTGGCCCTCAACAATAAATCCAGAGGTTTCGATCTGGTGAGGGGGGAGGATGTAGATGGGAAGAAGGTGAGTAAAACCATGGTCAGTAGTGGCCAGGTGGTGAAGAATGGGGTTGTCGATGGCCCTGAGGTCGCGTCGAAGTAAATAAACGAGGAGTTTATTCCCGGCCATGGTGAATGTAGTTATCGTGGGGTTAAGGCGTCGTGGTTATGCGTCAAGGGTCCTTTTGTTTCTGGGTCGGAAAGGAGAATTCAAGGGGGGACGCGATTGTCAGATCTAGGTCTGCAGGTTGTGTGAGATGGGTCAAAGGGATGGGTGACTGGGATTGGAGGCCTGATATTTCGACCACCAGTATTTTCTTTTGCTGGTCTCAGGGAAGTAGTGAGAGCCCCGTACGACAGGTGTAGGGTGCAGTTGTATTGGAGTCGTTTAGTGGATTGTTGAACGAGGACGAATAAGGATCTGAGCTGAACTGAACTGAAGAGCTGTCCAACAAATGAGTCTGGTAACTCAAGAAGGGATGTATAAGAGAGACTTGTATGTAAGAGTCTGGTTCGATAGGGAACGGTGGATATGGATCATGGAAATACTAAATTCTCAGGATGTCTTTGCTATAATATAAGCTACGGTATGGTTCAATACACCACCGTAACTTAGCCTAGCTTACAGGACTAACTTTCAACGGTTCCTGGCCAAGAGATAGTGTGAAGCGAAGCAAAGCAAAGCAAGTAACGTCTTCGGCAGGGGTGTATATACCGGACCCTTGAGTATGAGATGAGAGAACTAGGCGGGATCCTAGCGTGGTGTGTGGACTTGTATGTAATGAACTCGACAGTGTGGGTACTGAGGGAACTATGATGATGGCATGAAGTCCCCTAATTTGCAAAGTAGATCTGAGACTAGATGATGAGTTGAGGATGATTGCAGATGAGACAAGTAACAAAGGGAAGGCGAGTTTGAGTTGAGGTGAATCGTAGAGGCTAACTGACCACAGTAGAGGTATGATTGAATTGAAAATTGATGACGATGACAATCAAGTAGGCAACTAATAAAGATCCAACGGCGATTTAGGATCAAGGGGACCTGCAGATTCAGATGTAGTGATCGGTACGCTAAGCATCCGATTTATTATTGTAAACCAGGATAGACAAAAACGTTCAAACGAAGAGAAAAGATACCATATACAATAGGTAATTCTTTCAATATGAGATGTACAAGGAAAAGAAAAAGAAAAATAGGTTTAGCAATAGACAAAAAAAGAAAGGGAAAAGGGTGGACAAAGTAAAATCGTCATTTTGGACCCTGATCGGCCCGAGGGCGCTAGAATTGATAATGCCTTTCTTCTCTTTTCTCTTGTCTTTGGTAGCGATGATGGGATTTCCATCACTTAGATCTAAGCATCCTTGTAGCTTCATGCGGATCGAAGGTGACAGGGGCATTCCTTTCTACGTCTCTTCCCCCCAATTGGATAAGTTTAATGCAAGTACGAGTCCGGGACGACGCGCAATTGCAGTAACGGCATCTACAGGGGAAATGTACTTATAAAGTCGATGATTGACAGAGACAAGGGGCGGGCATGTTGACAGTCTGACAGTCCCCTATTTAGAAACGTCAATCATGTCTGTATTTATCAATATTGGTAGCCTCGAATTTAAAACAGAAACAGCCATGCTACCATATCAAGCCTCACCTCCGAGATATCGTGGTTCCTTTTCCGCCTCACTTCTTTTTGTTCTCTTGTACGACATGATCTGATGGGATGAGATGCGATGCGATGCGGCTGTACAGTTACCGATCTATTCATCGACTCAAATCGCTACTGGGGGCGTGTATGTTGCTACATAAAATGTGAGACAAGGGGACAGCGGAGTTTGAAAGAATAGATTTCTCTTTTCTTATGGCGATGTATCCGTAGAGTAGTACTGCACGCGTCGTGTCTGTGATCGTGGCCATGGTTGAGGTAATTGGGATCGAGAAAACCGCAAAATCAAGGGTCCATCCAGCCACTACAACAATGACATCATGACTTGAGAGCTAGTTGAAGGGACTAATTGAAGGGACTGAATGGACGCCATCTAGACTCTGGTAGCGTCTATACTGTTTTGCCTTCAATTTATTCATGTCTAGTTTCATAGAACAGCATGTAAATGCTAGTATTCGCTCTGTATACAGAAACAACCCAATAAGCAATTCATCCAGCCAGTCCAAAAATGACTTCTGATCTGCAAGTAGGGTGATCGCACACGGCCATCGAGCGGAACCAGACAAACCTACAAGGGTCTAGGCGTCTTGTCATCCACGCCAAGACGAATAAATGGCCTGACAATTAATTATAATTGCTTTTTTACTCCCATTGCCGATACAGAATTTATACACATCTTCTACCTAATCCTTGCCGATCTGTTTGCAACGTGCGTTCCCGAACATCGGGGTTTTAACAATAAAAAGGAAGCATTCTAGGCCTCATGCACTACTTTCATTAGTGTCAGCGGCATTTGCCGCCTTCTAGGGGTTGGAACTGCAACTATCACAAAGGGTGTCATTAACAGTACGCGTCTTTACTGATCATCCTTAACAAAGCAAATATCTCAACGGGCGTCGACTCTTCCAGCCCTCTAGGTGAAATGCATGTCTCATCCCATGCTTCAATGCTCCATTGAACACACTCGTAATTAATTGCAGAAAGCCTCCATGCGACTGTGTCAGCCTCGCCATACCACGATTGCCAAATCAGTCAAGTAGAAAGTAGATCATGGCCAATCTTTCTACAGTAACATGGTCTCGACCGGGGTCATTATTAATTCGTTTCCGATGTTTAAATCTTTAAAGTCTCTGGACATCGGCAAGAATTACTACCAACAAAATAACCAGGTATCCAATCTTTCGATTTCATTGCAACATGGAACTAAGCGACGCAACAATGACGAAACCAGTTTAAAAGTGCAAAATCTCAGTCTCATCCAAACTTGTAGCGATTCGAACCAGACTCGATTCGCCGCTTAGACTTTTTGATTCGGGGTCTTTTTCAGGAACATGACATATCATGACGACAGTCGCGCCTATCAGAGGATCGCCGTCACCGTCATTGCTGAACGAGAAGGTTTCTTGCAGAGCTAGACTGTCCTCAAGAATCCAAACTCGAGACCTGTTTTCGATATTTTATAGTGGTTGTAGAATGGGAATATCGATTAATTGAATCCAATTGGCATCATTCTAGCTCAAAGCAGTGCATACTAGACATCTTCCATTCGGCCTTACCCTACACTAAACCTCGATCTCGATATTTTACGATCTTGCACGCTCCGTTCGGGTCGCAAAATCACGTTGGTCTTATCGAATCGCTGACTTCTCCTCCTTTCCCTGTAAGTATAACATTCGAGATGCGATCAAGGCGACGCATGCAATGACATACGCCACAACGTAACGGCCGTCATGGCATGACTGGAATACGAATTATCAAGGCCTCAATTTTATCATGAACCTGACGTAGGGGGCATGTTTTTACTTCTATCATGTCTCATTTGAATGCACGATCGTGATTAAGGAGAAAAGAAGGTGTTGTTCAAATCATTTTGTCTGCACAATCATATGCCACTCATCGCGATTTGAAGCTCATGCCGTTGCTTCAAACAACACCAGGTGGACAAGGTAGACTCAAAATATCCGTAGTAATTTCCATCAATACAATTCACTACCGCAGGCAAATTTGCAAGTGCACATTTCGTCATTTCTCTTATGGATCGAGATCTCAATCTGAACTAGGTATAATCTTCAATTGGGCAGCACAGCATCAAGACTGCCAATCAACATTTGTGTTTCTCCTCATTAAGACGTTGCAAACTTGATAGGACGTATTTCGTCATTGATGCTATATACACTCATTCGCTCGAAACAGTTGCTGGGCATCCATCATCTTTTGGCAAGATATTCATCTACTCTAGAGCCATGGATATCCTTCACTGACCGACAACGGTTAAACCCACATGGGATTACATCCTCGGTCGGAATAGTCGTATTTCCGAAGAAAATGACCCCAGATTTTCAACGAGGGGAAACTGGGGTAGAGATGGGGGGAATCAAGAGGCTCAATCAGCTGTAAAGAAATTTTGGTGATAGACGCGAGTTTGTCTGGAAAGAGATAGATCCAATGCAAGATTTATATTGATTCGAATTTCTAACCTCTTGGACTTTGAGAACAACACCACAACCAGGTCGAAACTCGACTCATGATCGTGATTCTTTAGATATATATATATATAAACGCCAACACTGTCAATTGAAGCCAGGTAGATACTTATCGCGTCGTACATACTCGGGGTTTGATGGAAACCAAAGACACACTCTTATTATTCCCTTATACAAATCATCATACTTTGAGGTTAACCCATTAAATTTATTTATACAGTGACTAAAAGGACATCCCCAATTCTTTTATCATCGTGAATGAAGCCAAAAGTCATGCTAACAATTGGCAACTTTAATTGGTCAAACAACAAAAGCTGATCCTCTCTTTTATGAACCCCTGCTGAGGTTAACGCACTGTAAAGGTAATTGTTTTAGGCGTAAACACAGTATAAATTACATCTCCATCTCAACTTGAGACCCAGCGTTTGCCGTGAAGCGAAACTACCCTCGGCTAAGCGATATCCAAAAGCCGAGAGTAATCAATATGAATGGCTATCAAGCTTCTCCAAGACAAATTCTCAGGATATCAGTTCTGCCCGAGGCCATTTCTCTTTTTTTTCTTGCATCGTGATACCCCATCTCTCCCCCTCACCAATTGACCTTCTTCCTCGCTCAACAAGCAAGAAGAAAAGTCAGACCAGACATCTACTATGTCTGCTGTCAACAGGACCCTCCGAACGGCCACCAAGCAGTTGCGCTTCCAATCTCCACGGGGTCTTCGTGTCGCTGCCCCTCTTGTGGCCCGCTCAGCTCTAAGTGCTGCTCGCTCTTCGATTCCCGCTTCTCACGGCGCTGCCTTTTCAACATCTGCTACCAAATTCTCCGGAGCTCCCGACATGTCTTCCGCACCTCGTGAATACGATCCTGAGATCAAGGATATTGCCGACTATGTCGCGAATAAGACCATTGACTCTGAGCTTGCTGTGAGTACCCAACGCCTCAACTTTGCACCCCGCAATACCCCGCCTTGCGCTTCAACACCAGGAAATCATCACAACATCAATTGACATCAATTGCAAATATACTAACTTGTTAAAGTTCGACACTGCTCGATGGATCCTCCTCGACACTCTTGGCTGTGGTCTCGAGGGATTGAGGTTCAAGGAGTGCTCTAAGCTCCTTGGACCCATCGTCCCCGGAACCGTTGTCCCCAACGGCCCCAAGGTCCCTGGTACTCCCTTCCAGCTTGACCCCGTCAACGCCGCCTTCAACATCGGTGCCATGATCCGATGGCTCGACTTTAACGACTGCTGGCTCGCTGCTGAGTGGGGTCACCCCTCTGACAACCTCGGTGCCATCCTCGCTGTCGCTGACTGGATCAACCGTACCAACAAGGCTGGTGGTAACCTCGCTGGCGGCAAGACCTTTGTTGTCAAGGATATTCTCGAGGCCATGATCAAGGCTCACGAGATTCAAGGTTGCTTGGCTCTCCTCAACTCCTACAACAAGGTCGGTCTTGACCACGTCGTCCTCGTCAAGGTCGCCTCTACTGCCGTCGTCTCCAAGATGCTCGGCCTCAACGAGAAGCAGATTGCCGATGCTGTCACACAGGCTTGGGTTGATGGCCAGTCTCTCCGAACATACCGACACACACCCAACACCATGTCCCGAAAGTCATGGGCTGCCGGCGATGCTTGCCAGCGTGCCGTCAACCTCGCTCTCAAGGTCCTCAAGGGTGAGCAGGGTGTTCCCACTGTTCTGTCCGCTCCCGTCTGGGGTTTCTACGATGTACTCTTTAAGGGCCAAAAGTTCGAGTTCCAGCGCCCCTACGGAAGCTATGTCATGGAGAACGTTCTCTTCAAGGTCTCCTACCCTGGTAAGTCCATTGTCTGCTACAAATGAACCAGCTAACACATCACAGCCGAGTTCCACTCTCAAACCGCCGTCGAGGCCTCTGAGAAGATTCACCACCTCCTCAAGTCTCAGGGCAAGTCTGCTGCCGACATCAAGTCCATCACTTGCCGAACTCACGAGGCTTGCATCCGAATTATCGACAAGCAGTTCAAGCCCATGGACAACTTTGCCGACCGTGACCACTGCATTCAGTACATGTGCGCTACTATGCTCGTTTTCGGCCGTCTTGAGGCCACCGACTACACCGACGGTGGTGAGGCTGCTACTTCTCCTCTCGTCGAGTCTCTCCGTCAAAAGATCAAGTGTGTTGAGGATCCTCAGTACACCAAGGATTACCATGACCCCAAGCTCCGAACCATCTCCAACGCTCTCACCGTCGAGCTCAACGATGGTACTGTCCTCGATGAGGTCGCTGTTGAGGCTCCTCTTGGCCACCGTCTCCGCCGTGAGGAGGCCAAGCCCGTCATCCTCGAGAAGTACAAGCGCCACCTTGGCCCTCACTACCCTGAGTCCAGGGTTAAGGAGCTCGTGGAGCTCAACTTGGATGCCAAGAAGCTTGAGTCTACCCCCGTTGATGAGTACGTTGACCTGTACACTGTTGAGAGCAGCAAGTTTGTGCAATAAAGGGTTGGTTACTGGGTGAAGGAGATGGAGAATGCATATTTAATCGCAAAGCCCAAAGAAGGCTATAAATGAACATATTCAAATGAACGACTAAATAAAGAATATCAAAATGACCTCACCCTCAGTGTATCAGAAAAATTGGCCGCTAGAAGTATAAGGGACGAAATTAGTAGATTAGTTTATGCTACTTAGACCATGCTTCTTGGGCTGTTTATTTTTGTACCCTAAGACTTAGGAGGCCGCTTTCTATTGTCCGGTAGCTTACTTTCACTTCAGTGAGTAGCTTTTAAATCATGTGAATTATTACAATCAGTTACGTGTAAAATGGCGTTTGAGTTACACAATTTACACCATTATTCCAAAACCATCAAGAATATCTCGTGATTGGTGAGGGGCGCACTGCCTCAATGCCCGCTTTATTTTTGTAGGGATTTGGCTTGGCCGAATTCCGAGCCTTGGGAGGCGACTCTAGTCACAGCGTTGAAACACTCTCCTCTTTCATTAAACTTGAACCTGACATCCTGTCATTACTGAATCTTTGTCGCGTTGCAAGTCGCAAACTCTCATCCACCTTTGTCAATACTTATTTGCTCTTTACCCGCACGGCCGGACCCTTCGGGCGCAACATCAATCATGTCTGCTGATCGCCAGACTATTATCGAAGTGAACCGTTCGCTTCGCAACATCAAAAATGTTAATCTCCTTATCGCGACGCCAGCCGTGGCGACCGCAAAGCTGACACATAAAAGGAACTCGAGAACCTCCTCGAACGAGGCGTGATTGACGACTCCGTCTACGATACCATTAATGTCGCTCTTCCTCCCGAGTCTTCCCTTTCAGGGCCCCTCCGAACTGCTACAGGCGCCAACAAGACCACCGCCGCCAAGGCCGTGTCTCCCGCGCCAACTCCCTCCCCCGCGCCATCCGCCCAGGCGGCCCCTACCAAGGCCTTTAACGACCTCAAGATCAAATCCAACTCTCCTGCGCCGCCCGCATACGACCAGACACCTCCTCCTGGCCTCCCTACCCGCAACGTCAAGCCTACCGTCGCACACGCTCGCGCTCTATACCGCTACGCCGCCTCTGACGGCCGCGATCTGTCCTTTGAGAAAGATGACCGCATTGCTGTCTACGAGTACATGAACCAGGACTGGTGGATGGGCCGCAACGACCGCACAGGTCAGGAGGGTATCTTCCCTCGCAACTATGTGCTCGTGGACCAAGAGACCAAGAAACCCGTTCAGCCTGTGCAGGCCCCGGTGCCTCAGCCGCAGTACGGATACCCTGCTTACTCTCAGGGCCCGCCTCCCCAACAGAACCCCTATAACGCGCATGTGCCGCCCATGGCTGTCGCCGAGGGATCCGGACAGCAGGCACAGGAAGGAGATGGCAAGGACAATAAGGTGAATGAGTATGGCAAGAAGTTTGGTAAGAAGCTGGGTAATGCCGCTATTTTCGGTGCCGGTGCTACCATTGGAGGAAACATTGTCAACAGCATCTTTTAGATTGTGTATTTGCAGGCGACAGTTGTCGAATTGTTTTCGGGCGTACATTCTTGGGCGTTAGGGTTTGAAAGGGCACATCGAGTTTACACTTAGGGACCATGAAAATTCCCTGCTATAATGCACTTTTCCTGCTTCGAAGCGTTTACGAGCAATAGTTATCGCGATCTTGAGGCACTAAAAGTGCGTATTATAGAATTGGGACATAAATTGCCATAGTTGTTGTTTCTCATTTGCCTGAATAATGCCGTGATTCATGTCTCTGTTTTGCTGTTAGAACTCATGAGGTGTCTATTGTTCATCATGCCTAGTGGATTTTTAGAGATCACAGTGTAAAATACAGTACAACATCCAATCCCTGGTGTGGATCTGAGCCATGATTAATATTCTAACACTGTATACGTGCGTCGCAAAATTTCTGTTAACTTTTCCTCATGAAAACTCAAGACATCCAAACAGCATCACAACAAGACACAACAAACAATGTCGACAACAAAAAAGAGACAAGCGGAGGATATTCCTGCTCAGCCAAAGCCCAAGAAGAGCAAGAAGAGAAAGGCGGGTGCACCAGATGACGAATTACTCGATACTGAGCTTGGTCTCAACACGCTCTTCACCAAGATGGACAACCAACTCTTGGCTGATCATCTGGTTCAAAAGTTGACCCGTTTCGGAGGCGATTTGAGTGCTGTCGAAATTTCAGACATGACTGTCTCAGGTATGGCTATCTATTCTTGCATAAGATGAAGACTTTGCTCACCATCATCCAGCCAACGCCATTCAGGACACGACCACATGGCAAGAACCAAGAACCTTGGACAAATTCCCTAATTTCCTGGAGAGCGTCACAGAGAACCCTGAACTCTTGTACAAGTCAGCCAAGAAGAAGGGTTCGCCTCATACTCTCATTGTTGCGGGAGCGGGATTGAGAGCTGCGGATATCGTTAGGTACGCTTGGCGCGATCTGCTGCGGAGGAAAAAGTTAACCTTTGATAGATCCATGCGCAAATTCCAGAACAAGGACAACGCAATCGCGAAACTGGTAAGTACTTCATTCATATTCGCATCATACCTGTTGCTGACATGCGCCAGTTCGCCAAGCACATGAAGGTTGAAGAGCAAGTTCAATTCCTCGAAAAGCACAAGACAGGTATCTGTGTCGGCACACCTGCCCGTTTAATGGATCTTATGGATAACGGTAAGTTTGATGCTGTCATGCTCAAGGACCTTTTGATTGACCCAAATAGGTGCGCTCTCCCTCGATGGCCTGAAGCGCCTGGTCGTGGACGCTTCCCACATCGACCAAAAGAAGCGTGGCGTTTTGGACATGAAGGACACTATGATGCCTCTGGCTCGTTTCCTATCGAGAAAAGAGTTCAAGGATAGATACGGCGATGAGAAGAAGCCTCTGGCTTTGTTGTTCTATTAGATGCGATACCCTTGACAAGAAATATTAATCTTCCACTTCCTACGTATATCAGCGCTCCGAGGCTCGCGAAGTGGATCACCCATAAACAACATTTCCAGTGGTATGCATCTCTCAAAATAGGTAATAATGGAATGTCTATCGAAAATGCTTTATGTAGGGATTTGGATCGACAATCTAATGTTACGACTCGATTGGCCTGTCCACTGTTGATGTTGATTAGTCACGCCGATGACTCCTTCCCGCGTAGGTAGGTATTTATATTCACATCCCTTCTATCAAGAACCGAAACTTTTAAATCATTGACCAACATTAACACCAACAATATGCCCCGTGCTGCACATGAGATTATTCAAGATCTACGCCAACAAAATAGTGCAATAAAGCGAAAGCATGCTATCCCAGAGTTCGCAAAAGCCTTACGTCGTGATAGCTTCCAGACAACATGGGATGCTGTTGGAGCGGCGCCTGGGCTGGTTAGCTTGATGAATGAGCTCAGCATTCGAGATCTTCGCCAGTTGTGCAAACGCTTAGGAATGACAGCTTCAGCCCGACAAGCACGGCCCCAGAGGCGTACAGCTCTTGGCAAGCTTGTTATCATACTATTCGAGGGGAACAAAGATGGCAGACCTTTAAACCGCTTCTACCAGGATATCGTCCCCGCTTGTGACCTCGATATTATACAGAGGTTCGAACAGCCGTGGACTCTGTCACAGCAGAAGTATTTGTTAGCAGGTCAACGAGAGCACAACGAGACCAAGTTTATGGAAGAGCTATCCTCGAAGGACCTTGTACTTGCCCAACACATATCCCTTTTCCGCGGCAACATCCCTCTCACGGAAAGGATATTGACAACAATCCTCACGAGCAAAAGGTGCCCTCCGGATTTGATCGATAAATTAGTTATGCCCTCCCTCAAGCGCCTCCTCAAGAGCCGCTATGATGATAAGACGCGAAACCGATATCTTGACCTCGTCCTCCAAGTTGTCCGAAAACACCAAATTGCTGAGCAACTTTCTCTCGAAAAAGGTGGACTTGTTCAGTACATAGTCGACCGATGGTGTAATGGGCCATCCGGTGAGAGCGAGCAACTGAAATTTTGTTTGGGGCAAGCGATTGAGTTGCTCCCGTCTACACCAAAGTCAAGAGCAAACTACTTTGAGCGTCTGCAACAGGCGATTTGTATTTCTGAGAGATTAAGCTATGAAGGGCGATATGAACTTTTTCGCTTGCTTCTTTTGCATATGAAGGATTACCAGGTTGATATTGAGAGCAACTCAGAGCATGACCTCGTTCGCCTAAGGCAATTTTCCCGGTGGCCGTCTTCGCTTTTCTTCTCAGTAAGCTATCGAATGTCTCTTCACCTCTTTGAGAAGTTGGACCAATTGTTCCCGCAGAGAGACTTCTTGGGTGTAGCAACACAGGGAACAACAGTCTTGCGTCAGTCTCAAGGCCGAATCAAGCATAGTCCTCATGGAGACGTGGAGGTCGTGAAAGCTTTATTGATCCGGAGGTCAAAGACACAAGATGAACACCCAGGTTGGCTTCAGCATGTCACTGATCTAGTCAAGGAGAGGAAGACAAAGGCGCAGCAATCGCGGGAAGCTGTGGAGCGAGCATATTGGGCGATAAGTACAGTGCACTTATGCGTAGCTGCGGGTGATTTACTAGCCCTCAAAGAAACTATTGTGTGGTCGCGACGTTTCATCAAAGATTCCGCAGTCAGTTATCGTCTCTTTAGCAGCGATGTCTTCAAGACACAGGAGATAGAGGATCTTTTGGGTGCTATGCCAAACGGGAACGTCGAATCGCCCGAGGCTGCTGTGGCTTTCGCTTCCTCTCCAAAGAAAAAAGACATGGAGCTCGCAAACCAAAGTCTCATTGAGCTGGTCACGATCACAACTATGGCTGCTAGCGAGCCAGGGTTCCAGGCTGAGAACTGGCGTTGGTTATTTAACCTTATCCGATCCACAATTGATAGGCGTACCAGCAAGCTCGATGTCTTGTTCAATAGCCTCTCAAAGTGCACTGATTCTGATCGTGAGCAATGTCAGAGAGAGATGTTGGAGATTGTCTGGAAACCAACAATCGATACTTTCATTCAGATCCAGGCTGCCCTGGAAGCAACCCATGGCTCACTCTACGATACTCTAGTGCCTGTCTCATGCAGAGATTCTATCAAAGGCATATACCTCTACCAGCGTCTTGCCAACACTTCTATTCCAACTCATCTCCTCGCAGAGCTGACGCGCTTCCTAATCGATCAGATGAGAGCGTGGCTAGGGTCTAGAGGTCTACAAGCGCAGATGCATAGCGTTGTCTCTGCGATCGATCATCTAGCATCGAGCGAACCGCAGCTTGCATGCCCTTTCATACGCGACTTGATCTTGGACGATGATTTAAAAGAAGCCTCTTCGTGGCATCGTCAACTCATGAGTCATAGGTTTCTCTCGGTTCTTCCTGCAAGAAAAGCAGAGGAATTTCTGCGAACGATGGCTAGCGCCATGATAGAAAGGATGAGAGAGCAGAATCAAAATTTCGAGTCCAAAGAAGCGGGCACGGATACTCCTACTGAGAAAAAATCTGGGCCGATCAAAGTCACTACTGTGAAAATGCTTGCCCAGCTTTTGCAACATAAAATATTCGTTGATCCTTCTTCGTCTTGCGAGATACTTATTGGCTTTCTTTCTGAGACACAGCATATCGACATCCGTGTCGCCATCACAGCAAGCCTTTTGGATACAATGGAGGAGCCAGATTGCCCTCCCAACATACGGAAACAGATACTCTCCGCTCTCGAGGAGTATGTTGTACCGGTAGCTTCTCAACTCAACGAAAGACGTGGCATTACCGAATCCGATTGGACCGCGGCCTCCGAAGGCGGCGTTGACCTACCCATCGTTGGGGAGGATACTCCTTTACTCGACCTATTGATCGAGAAAGCTCAACTTTCAAAGCTAGAGGAAGCTGCCAGGTTACGGATTACCCAGCTTATCGTGGCTGCTTTAGAGCAGTCAGCTGTGGCTAACACACGTTATTTGAACTTGTTCATGACGAAAAACAATTTCTCCCTGGATTCTCTGCCCGGAATACCAGTTCATCTAGCTCCACTTTCCAAGGCATTTATTCATCTGATGCCGTACATTCCAGCTCGCCTTTACAGAATGGTAGAAGTAGCCATGTTCACTTATATCGAGCCATCATCTGGGATAAAAGCTATCAGTAAGGCCATTCAGGAAGATCGCGAATTGGTCAACTCAAACTCAGGCAAACACTGGCTTTCGCAATTCGCAAGTGGCAGCCTGGAACCCAACAAGCATAACATCCGGTTTGTGCTCATCCATGCACCTCGTTTAATCCAGCAAGGCCCAGAACAGCTCGATTCCACATTGGCCAGCAACGGAGTTAATCGAACATTGTTATTGCAGCTTATTAATGGCTGCGTCCAAAGGTTGTTAAAGGTTGATAGAGCTGGCGAAATAGTCAGCATTGTCAGGAGAATGTCTAGTGATAGATCAAAGAGCCGTGAGGATTGGAGGAACTGGCACAAGAATTGTTTGCCTGTGATTGAAGCAATCATTCTACAGACAAAGGAAGCTCAAGCACGCTGCCAGTTTATTCTAAGTGTACAAGCTCTGCCACTCCCTCTACCCGACGCAACGGAGGAAGAAGACAATGCATTCATCGAGAAGCTCTACGGGGTTATCACGGATCTGGCAATACGCCAGAATTACCCATATCATACCGATTTAGGAACACTCAAGCAGGAGATCGATTACTGGCCTCTGGCACAGTGCTTTGCACGATTGGCGCTCAAATTAGCAGCAGTTCGCGACTACGGTCTGGAATCGACGGATGAGCCTAGTCTTGCGGACTATCTACGATGGGAAATCGTGGCACATTTGCTCACCAAAGCTACCGGTCCCCAAACAGTCGCAGTGGAAGTGAGACGATTGTTGGAGGAGTGGTCGAGATCTATCGACAAGATGATCAATGCTATGGGTATGGACTTGACAAGGACAATTCAACACAGAGATTGGTTAGTTACGAAGTAGGGAAGCGACACGATGCGAGTATATATGACTGTTTGGGTAGCATCCTTTGAGCAAGAGTCGAGTGCTACTGGGCGAACATTGTCATCAGGGTATCAGAAATGTTGGCCGCTGACGCAAAAGAGACGAAATTAATGAGTCAGTTTATACCATTCAGACTCTACCCTTAGTTTATTTATTTTTATACCCCAAAACCATGGAACAGCACAGTAGAACACATCATTTCATCATTATTCAGGTACTGTCATTAGGTATGTAAAGTTGTTACTCGGCTTCTCTTCATAACATAACCAAACTTTATGGTCTTTATTTGTCTGCGATCGGGAATTCACTGCCTGTCGCGCCCTTGTATTGGTCTCGAATAGCATCTGAGATGGCCTCATCTTTCATCTGCTCCGCGGCGGATTCATTTGACTGGTTGCCAGCGCCAAGGAAGTTCTCTTGAACATAATCGACAGCTGCGAATGTGTTGTTAGCTTCGTGAAACATTGAGAGTATTGGATGGTGATCTTGCCCTTGTCGAGACCGTCCTCCTTCTTTTCCCCAGAAGCTCCTCCTCCTGCCATATTGTTGACCTGAGAAGTGTTAGTGGGCTCACGTAAATCGAGATGAGAAAGCTTGCCTTGTCCATGAAACCGCCAGACTCGGTTTGCTGTTGAGTTTGGTCGGCGTTGTCGTTCTTGTTGCCGCCGGCGAGGTTCTTGACGAAATCCATGATGATGATTGAGAGTGATTTGTATGTTGATAATGTTTGATTAGGTGTTGAAGGAGTAGAGATGGAGGGTGGGGAGAGACAAGTCTTATATGCACATCAAAACTGGCAAGTCCGACCAGCAATCAAGAGCACCACAGTAACAGTTTCTTGATTTGTTGTATGGCAAGCTGAGCCTCTGACGCAAAAACAAGGTTACGAAAGATGATGCGTGGGACAGAGGTGTATGACGTTGGCTGATTATGATTGGTAGTGCCAGAGATAAGGTGCGGCGATAAAGCTTAAACCTCGCGCCAAAAACTTGGCACGCAAGTTGTACTGCTGAGCAAGGGTTGACGATAGGACACGCCATGAACACGAATCTAAGCCCACAAGCTCTGTGCGGGGTAAGCTTCTACCCCATGATATCACAGGCCAGGACTTCCATCACATCTTCACAAATTGGACACGGATTTTGGTTTGAGTCATTATACACTGGAGCAGCTACAGGAGCAATCATTATCATACATCATTAGTTTCGTTCCTTCTTCCTCCTCCTCCCATGTATAGCAAATCTCCTGGTATCCGTCATTATCATCACCGTTTTTGGTGACATTCATCGTTCTCGTCATCGTCGTTTTCGTCATCGTCGTTTTCGTCTTTGTCGTCGTTATTCTCGTCGCCTGTGTTTCCTTTTTTTTTTTTCAGCATTGTAAATTTTTCAAAAAAATTAAAATAAAAAGGTTCGTCCGCGTTTATCGTCATCTCATCTGCTCGTAAACTCCTGGGCTCGTTATTCGTCGCCGTCATTAGAAGTTAAAAACGAGTGTACCATCCGTCAGCGTCAATGACGGCCTGGCACCGCTTGGGCATGCTTCCGATCAGCTCACCGAGGTACTCCTTGGAGATGCCCTCCCAAGTGTCTCGTACAATGTCGTCGATCCTGTACTCGGTAACACCCCCAAAGAGGGAGTTGGCTTTGTCGGCCTTCAAGTTAGCGGTGATAGTGCCAAAGATTTCAGTGATGGGGTTAAGGTCAGGGGATGCTGGGGGCAGGTGAAGGACAGGCTTGTGGCCACCTCGCAGACCATCCTTGATGGTTACGCTGCAGTGGGCTGGAAGGTCGGGTGACAGAGCAAAGCGAGGGCCAACTGAGTGATCTCGAAAGAAGTTGACAAGGCTGGGGAAAATGTTGAAATACCAACTCTCAGGGCCAAGAGAGCCATGCTCGCGGTTGCTGCGGCGGGTCCAAGAACGAAGGTGACCAGTGCCAGCAACACCTGACAGGTAAGCAAAGTAGAAGTTGCTGTTGGTGTAATCAGTGGGAGCAACGGGCTCAAAGTTGATGCAGTCGGGGTGGATGTCCTCGTCTGACTTGCGAGTGACAAAGACTTCTTGGGGCTGTTCGTTGAGGGGAACATACATCTCAGCGTAGAAGAGGACACTTCCCCACTGCTCAACTGCCCAGTGAAGATGCTGACGAGCAAAGTTGAGACGCAGCTGTCGGGTCTTCTCGTCAATGTGAGGGCGGGTGATGGCAGGTGAACACTTGAACCCTTTGCGGCCCAGCGTCAGGGTGATGGTTCGCTCGGAGCAGTCAAAACCCAGGGCTGAGGGAATCTTGGCCATGGGAGTGCGGCGGGCGTTGGGGTTTGACTGGACAAACTCGACCAGCTGGTGTATTTGATCTTTGGTCAGGGTGCGGATTTTGGGTAGAATGGAGAGAGTAAGGGAATTGAGGGTAGAAGATGACGGGGTAGCCTTGCCGCGAGCTTGAAGACGAGCTTGAGCACGAGCTTTGATGCGAAGGTCAAGGCGGGAGGCAGCTTCAGCGGCAACTTGGTCAGGCAACTGGTATTGGACTTGCTTAGCAACGGCCTCTTTGGACCAGCCCTGGGCATGAAGAAGCTCCGCTCCCAAGATTTGAGCGTCGGTAGGAAGGGTGGAAGCTCCAAGAAGCTGCTCAGCCTGGCTGATGTTTCGAAGGAGCTGAGGGTCTGCGGGCTTCGCATGGAGATCAGAGGTCATCCCCTGAAGAGCGGCAATCTGATCATATTGCTGGCTAGACCGTAGCTGCTGAGAGGCAAGCTGTTTGTTGTAGCTCATGGCCCAAGCCTGATGCTCATCCGCCGGACCATTTTTGGTCTTGTCAAGCCCGAATTGCTTGTCGATAAGACGAGTAAAGAACAGGGGATCCTGGGTAGTAGGAGGGATAGCAGAGAGGGAACAGGTAGGGGTAGAGGCAGTGGTGAAATCGATGTAATGAGCCATCGTGGGAATTAATGCGGTGATGCGAAGATGAATGCAAGTTGATTGTGGAAATAGAAGCAAACTGATTCAAAGAACAATGAGCTGAAGATGAGGGGATGCAAGCAAATTGATTGAGAATAGAAGCAAATTGCAGTCAATAATGCTGGATGAGGATGAATACAGCAGAGTGGATTGACTTGAGCTGAGCTGGTAGAGTGGTTGCAGCTGGGGACGTAAATCTAGAGCCTAATGAACTTTTGTGGGCCGGAGTTCGCATCAATTCATCGTATGCACTGCATGAGGCGCTGTCTTGTCTGTGGCTGTGGCGTTTTGGTGGACTGGCAGACTGGCCGGTTGACTCAAAGCTTTGGTGGGGCACGAGTAGTCCACGGCGATGCGTCATACCCAGTGTCGTGGAAAAGTTCAAGTATCGCGACAAAGACCGACTAAAAAATCTTTAGTTTCACATACATACTCCCTATACATACCAGAGAATAAAAGTCAGTAGCCATGGCCAAAACGAATGAAGATCTCCTTCGACGGCCACTGTATCGTAAGTCAGCATCAATTCTTACCCCGCCATAGATCGACATGTCCAGAATCGCAATACTGACATATCCCAAGTCTATGATCTGCCCGCCGAGGTCTTGGACACACTAGTCCTCAAAGATGATGCCGATGCTGACGCCATAGCCGCTGCTGAACCCGCTGCTTCTTTACCTACCGAGAGTCCCTCAGATAGCAACCTTGTGGGAACCCAGGCTTGTTCTTTGTGTGGTCTCACGTTCGCAACAGTGATAGATCAGCGTGGTCATCTCAAGTCCGACTTGCACCACTATAACCTCAAACAGAAATTGCGAGGACAAAAGCCCGTGTCGGAAGCCGATTTTGAAAAGTTGGTTGGAGACCTAAACGAATCATTATCGGGTTCTGATTCAGAGGAGTCAGAAGAAGAGGAAGATGGCCGACAAGAGTCAACCCTTACCACACTCTTGAAAAAGCAGGCGAGATTGGCCGACAAGGCAGGCAGCGATGATGAGGAAGAAACTGCAGGTAGAGCAGGTCGCGGCAAACCTCCTCTCATCTGGTTCAGTTCTCCTTTATTACCTAAAAAGAACTACTTTGGAATGTACCGTGCCATTCTCACAGGCGACGAGCAACGGAACCAAGACCTGGTCGAAGTGCTGAAGAAGAAGCAGGTGGAGCCCATCGCAATGCCCAAAATCCCCAAAGAGGGCGCCTTACCAGAGGTTGCCTACAAGGGTCCTCATATCTTTCTATGTATGATAGGAGGTGGTCACTTCGCAGCCATGGTTGTCTCTCTTGCTCCACGACCCAACAAGAACGGCACGACCATGAACCGAGAGGCCACAGTGCTAGCACACAAGACGTTCCATCGATACACCACACGACGAAAGCAGGGTGGTTCTCAATCGGCCAACGACAACGCCAAAGGAGCTGCACACTCGGCTGGTTCGAGCTTGCGACGATATAATGAACAGGCTCTGGTGGAGGATGTGCGAAATCTCCTTCAAGAATGGAAGGCTCTTATCGACACTTCCGAGTTGCTGTTCGTCCGAGCGACAGGTATGACGAACCGGAGAACCCTGTACGGCCCATACGAGGGTCAAGTATTGAAGCACAACGATACTCGACTACGAGGCTTTCCTTTTAGCACACGGCGAGCGACACAGAATGAGCTCATGCGATCCTTTATCGAATTGACACGACTCAAAGTCCGCGAGATTATTCCTGTGGAGGAGACCAAAAAGGAGGCAGAGTCTGCTGCACCAAAGACGAGTGCGAAACCTTCAAAACCAAAGTTGTCCGAGGAAGAAGAGACAGCGCTTCTCCACACATCTCAGCTGCAAGCGTTTGTTAAAAGGTCAAAGGTGCCAGCTCTGCTCTCATATCTGAGGAACAACAACATCACAGCCGACTTTGAGTTCCAGCCCGTGGAGCAGAATCATCATGCCCCACGGCCGCTTCACCTTGCCGCTGCTCAAAATGCTGCACCGTTAGTACTCGGTCTCCTTGTTCGTGGGGGTGCAGATCCTACCATCAAGAACAACGAGGGCAAGACACCTTTCGAACTCGCTGGTGAACGATCAACGCGAGATGCTTTCCGCGTGGCCCGCTCTGAACTCGGCGAAGCTAAATGGTCTTGGGACGATGCCAAGGTACCGCCCGCCATGACGAAAGCTGAAGCCGACAAACGTGACGAAAGGGAAAAGAAGGAAGTCGATGATAAAGAAGCTGAGCGCCGACAGGCCGAGGAGGAAAGGTTAAGGAGTGAAGGGCCCAAGGTGCCAGAGGGGCGAAAGCAAAAGGGAAATATCTTGGCAGCGGGTCTCAAACAAACGCCCCAAGAAAAGAGAGAGGCCGAGTCGAGAGGTCTGACGCCAGAGATGAGGATGCGCCTGGAGCGTGAAAGAAGAGCACGAGCTGCGGAGGAGAGACTTCGAAAGATGCAGAACGGTGCATGAGATAGAAGGTCACGATACACAAACACCAGAAATAGACTAATGAATTGGCATCAAATCATGGACGCTCTATTGTTTACTTCTTTAAGAGGTTGGGGACTTGTGGGCTATGTAAACGTGATGTATCGCGTGGTGTAGCTTTCCTATTGTTCTGCCTGAATAGCGTTTGTTCGGCGTCATTCACGAAGCCCGCGCAGCTCCACCTCACATCACAATAAAAATGAATAGACAATCCTCTTCACAGAACTGCGGCTACGGGTCACATTCCATAGAGAGTAGAAATAAAATGGTGGAAGTCTGCTCGACGTTATGGTGAGTTTATAATGACCAACTCTATGCCCATATAAATAGCAAACTACTAAGACAGCTTTGATATCCAACCTACCTCTCCTTCCTTAACCGATATTCCTAAGAATATGACAGAAGTCATTGTTCAAACTTTGACCGAGGCGAATACCTCGTCTGGCTTCCTTGACTGGGCGGCAGTCTATAGGGTAAATATCTGGGTTCTTATTTTAGATGCCAGTCATATATCTGTAGACAAATGAGCCTTCTCACTGAGAGTAATGTTACCATGCTTACCTATTCGGATATTGAATTTACGATGTGTTAAATAGTTATTTTCTCAATGAATTATAGTATCATTTAGAACGGCGGGTGATAATGCTTTACGAGAACACTCACATGCTGGCTTTACCTGAACACTTTGATGAACTACCCTCCGTTACCACTAACTTGACATATTCTGATATCAGTTGCCAAGTGTCCACCACCACAAGCTTATGGAGCTACGAATAGTAAAAGAATAGTGGTGGATATGTATTACGATCGGAAAGGCTGAGCCGGATCAAGCTGTACAGGCCGGATATCTTGACGGTTGTGCTATGGAGCATCTGTAAATGATAGCCACACAGTGGTGCCTTTCATGGCAGTATCGATGGTGATGTTGTTAATGCTGCTACTTATGATGGTGATGCTATCATTGTTGTTGCTTCGCTGCTGCGGTTGTTATTGTTTCTTGGTGTCATGCAACCTTGCATTCTTCAGAGCAACTCTTGGGTCCGTGCTGTCCATAGCGCAACTTGTTCAGTTTCCATGCTTTCCTTAGATCATCTCGATTCGCTCGGTTTGTTGTCTTTACTACTGTTACCAGCATTTACATGCGATTGGATGTCCAAGAGTCACCACACACGCCATTTGGGCACTGGCTCCTTCTCCTGTCATGATGTTTCGTATATAAAACGTCAAAGAAAAGAAAGCATTCATAAAATACCAGTGCTCATCTTTAAAAACTCAAAATTTGATGAAAGGACTGTGCGAAAAGAAAACTCTGTACTCAAGCCATGATACCCGTTAATGAAACTGGCCCTGGTCAAGTTGGGTTCTTTTGAACAACTGGCAGAAGCAGCGTAAGCCGTATTGGGCAATTGGAAAGATCTCGCAACGATTTCCATGACCGTTAATGGAGATCATCAGTCCGAAACATGCCATCCGTAAAACTTGCTTCTTTGATGCACAGACAGGTCCAAGAACATCTCTTCGATCGTGCTAGCCATTGTCTTGTGGATATACAAACGGCTAATTAATAAATCCCACCACTCAGCTAGAGGCTTCTATGTATACTTCAATATCCAACTCCTGGTATCTACTTCTTCAAGAGGCAGCCCGTCGGCCAACAATCGGCTTCAAGCTTGCAAGACCAAAATAGTGTCTCCTCCGGTCCCTAACTTGTCATCAGGAGATAAATCCAGGTACAGTTACCGTATCTGTACCCTGCTTGACCTCACGGTCCAGACTAGGCGTAAATACGGATAAACATTCTCCTAAAAGGTTTAAAAGTCCCTGGTAAAAGACAAATTAATCTTGGGGACCCATGCGGGTCCAAAGGGGTTGAAAATGATATTGTACTCTGTACCAACTGGAATGTAACGATTGACACGACAAGGGTTGACCTGATCCACGATTTTATGGCAACCTTCATAGCTCTAGCTCCAGTAGAGAGCTTAAGCTGTGAGGCGAGTCAGCTGGTGGTCCGGGCAAGCACTTGATGAAACCACCAAGGCCAAAAGAATTACACTGAATATGACGATCAGTGGAGATGTCGGTGCGACTTGGATCGACCCCAAAAAAAAAAATAGCAAGTCCGCTGCTTAATCGATCGTGGATGAGGTGACTGACGATCAGCAAATAAACTATGGAGTGGTGAAAATAATTCTATTTCCACTTAGCTGAATATCTATCCCATGGCGACTCATCGGAATCGATTCCCGACTTTAAGACCGTATCTTTGGCAAGGCGGGTGAAAGGCACAGCAACCGCCTCAACGGAATGATAACCACCGTTTGGGTAACTTGGTCTAAGAAAGAACAAAACCCATCACGGAATGTGCCATATCAGGTTCTAACCACGACCGCTATGGCCGCAACTCGAAACACGGAACGACAAAAGAGAAAGAGACGCTAAGGGGTTCTTAGCGCTTCTGGCTAATCCCAGCCGACCCCGGGCACGCGTTGTAACGCTGCATCGTTCTATGTCCAGGGGTGTTCAGGACATTCCTGAAAATTCGAAAATGGCTCGATATTTTCCGTGAAGCTAGACTGACCGTCAGGCGACATAACGTGGCAAGCGGAGCAGGCCTTGCAGTTAAAACGAAACAACGGCTGCGATGTTCTAATACCCGGCATAAGATCTTTCATATTATCGGGAAGGTTAGCGGCTGCTTCATGTTAACCAAAGCCAGAGATCAACAGTGATGTCAAGATATCCGACAGGATATGGGAGATTGCCCATTTGGGAAAAGCGGCCCATCCCGGAGAAATTTAGTACTAAACAAATGGACCCAAAGTGTCAACTCATAGCGCGCGGGAGGCTAAACAAGCAATCAATAGTTCCTTCAGTGCTCTCACGCGAACGAGAGTGCGAGTTGAAGATTGCTTCTGTCATGTATCAGGTAAAGAGAGCATAACTCAGTGACACATCTTGCAGATCTAAAAGGCCGCACACGAGCTGAGCCATCTTATACCCCAGCTTCAGGTGGGAGACAAACTGCTGTTCCGACTGGTTCCTCAAGTCTTTCTATTTTCCTGTTCCGAGTTCTGATCAGTGATAACGCAAATCAGCATAGTTTTAGTTACACGAGATGCAGCGCACTTTTCCAAGTAAGCATAGTTTCAAGGTTGCTGGTATTAAGTTTGTTAGTGTCTCTGCACGTCTCAAAATATGTCTCAAACAGTTGTTACGCAAACGTTAAGGAATACTGCGCGTATAAACTTCCAGAGTTACCTTATAATATACGTATAGACCGATTCCTAGTAATAGTACCTACCTATGATGGCTTGTAATCATACCTGTATTCAGCTTAATATCATTGCTACCCGGGACTGCTTACTGCGTACCGAGCAACCCGGTGATTGCAGATCACCTAAAACCTGGAAGTAATCGGTTCAAACAAAATTCTCAAGCTGAAAAGGTACAGGGTATTATGTGTAACACAGCGGTCCAAAATAGGTTGAGAGACGAGTAGAGATATTGTAAGGCTGGATGACATGGGCGTTGTATCAGATTCGCAGTTCAGTAAGCGATGATTGGCTGCCCTGATGATGAAACCGACTAGCGCGTCCTGGTCCTGAGACACTGTTGGCGTCAAGCGGATGGACTGGTCGATTTGGTGCTAAGACAACAAAGCTGTGGCGGCACCCTGCAGCGTTGTCACTTTGGCCATGGTAATCAAGAGCCAATGATACTGTCTAACAAAGATGGGGTTCATTTTCTGATTGTAAGCGCTGTATTTTGATAAGCGCCAAGCCATAGATGAATGAGTGATGGGTAGGCAAACCAAATGGTAACTGCTCCGATGGAAAGGAGCTTTGTCACCAAATCACTCGAGTAGTTACATAGTATCCGTCAATCTAAAAATGCCAAGCCTTCTTTGGCCGTGATAGCCAGACTCTCTACTCTGTATAGCGTGATATGTTCGGTGGAAGCGGTGGGTATGTGGGTTGCTCTATAACGCTGCCAGTCCTATCCTTCGGCAAGAACCCAGTGTACATACAAGGGGAAGTCTTGCAATTTCCTTAAGGTAGTAACCCGCATGTGAGCTCAGGTTGTTAGGGTGACCCAGTCAGTATCTCCGAAGGCCTGTTGAAGATCCATGGAGAGTGATGGTGCCTGTTATTTTTAGCATTGGTATTAGAGCCAAATACTTGAAGTGTTGTTGTACCTTGGTATTGGGCATGAAAGACACTGATTGACGATAAGGACAGACGAGCCAATATCTTTCAACCGCTACCACCGTTTGACACTATTCTTGGCACTTCTCTCGCCTGCGAAATACCATCAGTGGCTTGCAGTGGCTTTCTGGGGGGAAGCATAGGTTGAGTGATTCTGGCCCCTGTAATAGTAAAGATTCCCACCTAGACAACCGCTTAAGAGCGTTGCAGCGCGATTGGCGGATAGCTGGAGGTTCCTGCAGCTTCTAGGACGACGGAAGAACCATGCTAGTGGCGGATACCCACTCCCAGGGGTAATTCTTAATGAAGTCTACTAAGGTGGCGGAGCGTTTCATTCACCAGTTGCACTTGCCCATTCGCAGAGCGTGATGACACCCAAGCCAAAAGACGGCAGTCGCGGAAGGAGCGACATGCCAATGAAGGAAAGGTGCAGGAAACACTCACAGCAGGGGCAAAATATCCCCCTTTGGAGTACCTGACTTTGCAACCGCCACTTGATCCGTTTATTGCCTCGATTCGATACAGACTTTTGCTGTTGTTAATCCAAAAGCAAGCCTCATGGCGTGCGAATAATTATTCCACAACGAATTGCCCCGCAATCAGATTAAACGCCCACAGAACTCTAGAGGCGCCCAGCTAAGCAAATCGGAACAGGCACGTGCAGTAGTGTCTCGGAATTTTTAGACACAATATGCATAATCGTTTATAACCATGTATTGGCTCTCGCAAACTGATATTCCGGGCCATTCACATGGCCACTAAAGAGCATGTACA